ATGTGGTCCTTTTGTCCAGACCTATAGGGGGAAATTAAAACGGTAAAGTTTGGTCTGTACTCCGTTTGTTCTCTCTCCCCTCTGATAGACATCATGATATTGATATACGAATCTGAAAATGAAAGAGTAAAACACCCTTGCTCAGAGCGGAAAATTATTGTACCGTAATAATTTGCGTCCAGACGGATTGTATATTTATACACAAGTATGGAGGTACCTAACATGCTCCCCGGCGTTGCCATGGCTACGGAGGACGCGCGCTAATTACAAGGTATTTTCGTATATTTTGTTTTACTGCTCATTATTGGACTCTGTTATGATATATTATGTCTTTGAATCGTTCCGATTCTCAATTTCGTGTGATGATAAATTATTGTTTTCTTAGTATTGGTTAAGTCCAGTACATAAGTAAAGTTATTTTATTCGACGAAGACGTATTTTTGGACTATTTTTGTAATCTGAATGTCATAGGTTTGCTTTGTTGGGCGAGTGGTTGTAAGCTCAAGAGGTCTCAGATTCTATTCCCGGATGGAACAGTGTTGATTGATTTTTTGGGCTGTTCGAAAATTGTTAGTACCGTTGTTAGTTACGTGTGTTGTGTGGTAGGGTGTAGACTCGATTAGGACTCATAACATGTTTGGTGAATAGTGAACTTAACATTGTATAAATTTATCTTATACTACCTCCTCGGGAGGATAAAAGACAGTATTCTAAACCATATACCAGCTATACTACCAGCAAGCTATGTTTTTCAAATTAAACTTTGAAACAAAACAATAAAGTTGGAAATGTAATAACGCGATTAGTCAGTACCTATGTATGTTATGTATGTAGATCGGTTTGACGGTGAACTTATTTTAATCACCTATTGATTTATGTCAACTCAATGTGTAGGAGTTATGCCTTTACAAAGCTCATTAATAATGAATACATGTCTTTAACATTATACACAATCTGACGGGCTTGTCAGGACCGCCTACGTCCCGAAGGTGAAACAAAGAGATTTGTGAAGGGGTGCCGTGGGGTCGTGGGGCCCGACTCGGGGGCTCATTTCGCAGACCGTTATACATACAGTGACCAAATACCACGTGCAATTCTTATGTATGATTGTGGCATGTTTCGTGTGTGTTCGCAATTATTATGGCGTATCGGTTATCGTTACCATGCGTGGATGACATAGGTATGTAGTTTCATTTACTATTATATTATAGACATATATAATTTTGAAACTTTGCACGAAGTTTATGTCTTAAGTTATCAAATCTACTGATTAATTGAGTGGTCGTTAATTGTTTTTTTAAGGGTCTAATTATATCAAAGTTGTTTTTAGGCGTTTCTATTTTAATCAAAGATGGTATTATAGAAACTGGTTTAGGTTTATCCGTCATTTATTAATGTTGCCTCGTTAGCCGAGTAGGTTGCAAGTGCGACTCGGGTAAGGGGTTTCGGGTTCGATTCCTGGGTCGAGCAAAGTATTACTGGGTTTTTAAAAATTCTCAGTAGTAGCACGAAGTCTGGAATTGTGCCCGGTATATGGCAATAGGCTCCTCACACGGCACGCATAACATAAATAGTGAAAAGTGGGGTGTTACAGTGCACTGTATCTCTGCATACCCCGTCGGGGATAAAAGGCGTGATATCTCTATGTAGTAATATATGTAAATTAAACGTGCTGAATAATTTTGTCTGTCGCATTGTAGTTGTGGTCGCAAATGTGACTGGAAAAAGATCTTGATTTTGCTCCCTGAGTAGGCCAAAGTATTCTTGGATGTTTTTTTTAAAGTTTGGTGTATGTGTACAAGGGACTTGTGTATGACACATTTAACGGTTATAGCTCTCATTAGAGCCATCCAGACCAGCACCACCTCGCTTCAAGCGGTTAGTTTACTTTTTATTATTTATACGCCCTCATAACATACTGACGATTGCCTCGCTCGCTGCGCTGACCACGCGCGGCCGACGGGTGTCCTCGTTGATAACTCGCTGCTCGCACGCTTGCCTTGCGCGATCCTAGCGTCACCCGCGAATGACGCGACGCCCACTCGTAGATCACGCGTCGTCAACCCGTTGGCCACCTGTTGACAACGAGTTGACGCCGAACGGCGTGGCGATGTTGTTCGTGTGTAGGGTGGCTCTAATGAGCGATAACTGTAATATAGTCAACCTCTAACCTACTTGTTAGTAGAATAAAAGACGTGATGTTTTATTACGTTACGTTGACGTTGACCGTATAGGGAGGGGATTTACTTTTATTACTAGGAACAATCTTATTTGAGACACGATTTTAGTGTGTTCAATAAACAGCCCGTGATAGATGTCCGCTGTACTATGGACTTACCTACATTGGAGGGAAGAATTTGGCAACATTTTCACGCCTCAGTTAGACATCGCAGTTAAAACTTACAAGTTTATTAAAGAGCGTTGTGTTATGTGTAGTTCCTTAGTCAACTCTTACTACATCGCGGGTAGTGAGTGGCCAATGCATTCTGTTGTTACCATACGGTTGTGTCCAATACACCTTAGTAACTACCCAGTCTTAGCAACAATAATGAACCCAAAAGAATTAATTTTTCAACAATGTTTTTCCATATTTGCGTCCTATCCTCAATATTTGGGTCGCTACTTAAATATTATTCCAATTGTTGCTACTTGAAATTCGCTTGACTGATTTACAAACACAATAAACCTATTGTAAGAGGGTTTCGAGTGTAACAATAATTTTGTTTGTATGCTCAAGGAGCGTGTAGGTCTTCCTATTTTGTTGTTGCGTTGACCTGCTGTTGCTACGGGCCAGCTAATGTGATGCTTTGTTTTTAAAGGTTTCTTTACAGATGTATAAGTTCCATTTTGCTTTTTTTCAATTATTAATCCTTAAAAATATGATTTGAACCGTAAATTCATACTCTTACCAGGACCTAGTGTTCTATAGGAAACATAAACTCAGACGATTCGGTCCCCTTTGCTTTAATTAAATACAAAATGGGGTGATATGGGGTGACAGCTACCCTTCCCCTTACTCGCCGATCATATATCGGCAGTTGATGTAGCTGTAAGGGTGTAGAATACACAGATCCCCCGTTCTCCTCGCGATCCCCGCGGACGCTTCGGACCCCGCGCGACGCCGGGCGTCGGCGTATGTACGCGTGTAGGTAGGGAGATAGATATGAAATGAAATGGTTTTGATTGTACATACTACCATGCGTTTTATCTCCCGTTAAAGGGCAGTTACACGCAGTGGTTTTTAGGCATATAAGTTTATAAAGTTTTCCAATTGTCGCAGTTATGATTTTGTGCCCGATTAATTTTAAAACAAAGAACAAGAGCTTAAACTTAAACCATTCGTTAAATATTGCATAATAAACTTCAACAAATTAACATTATACGTTCACGGTTCATGGCATCAACCTAACTTATGTTCACATGAACACTGAGTTCAGTCAAGTCACGTCAATTTCGAGCGTTTGCCGTGACACAATGTGAACAAAGGCAACTTCTTCCGCTCAACCATGCGTAATGTTACTCGTTTTGACTAGTTGATCACACAACCTTGTTTGAGAGTTTTGAGATTATCTGATGTGTAGTTCCAATATCTAACGACTTATTTCATATGATTCTGTTACTGACTTGGTGAGTTATAGTCGACGTGGCCGTGACTTAAGTATAGCCTACAAAACGATTTACCTACGTAATGACCACGATAACAATAATATAGTAATCTCACTGCTTCGTTGGCAAGAGGTTTCAGGTTCGATTCCCGAGTTGATATATGTATTACTGGTTTGTTTAAAAAAAATCTCAGTAATCGCACGGAGTCTGGAGTCGTGTCGAAGGAATATGACAATGGACTCACCCCGTATTACATGGTGCTCATCATAAAAGAAATAGTACAAAGTGGGAGCTACATTGTATAGTGGCAATAAGTGCCGAAATAGTCACCTCTGCCTACCCCTTCGGGGATAAAAGGCGTGATGATATTGATTGATAATCTGAAAGTGTTAGGCAGATGTGGACTTTTATACACGTGTATTATGCATTATGCAGGGTGTAGGAGCATAACCTACAGTGAGCCGCTGGTACATAGGGTCACAAACTAACAGACGCCTCATAATATCACACCGGATATCCTTATAGTAAACAGTCTACACCCGCAGGACTAGAGGCGTTACAAGAGTTTTACCAGGGGATTGTAAAGGGGGAAGGGGATTGTACCTTGTCTCGACAGGCGTGGTAGATTGATGCCCCTTGCACATGCGTAGGCCATAAATAACGATGGGACGGGAGTATTGATTAACTGAATAATATAAAAAGATTGATTCTTAAGCGTCTCACGCATGCGCGGTCCGCACAGACGCCGGGCTGGCTTCGAGGGTAAGCTGGGGATAGCGGTCGCCGTTGACGGACGTGTCGCTTGTGAAATGCATTTAGTGCATTTATTTTAAAGTTTAAACATCAAATTAACACTTAATAGTTTCAATTTCTTTCCGTAAAAATACTTATATATAATTTTATAAAGTTATTTCGTTCGTGGAGTGATTGTAAGTGTGGGCCGCCCTCTTATTATTTATAGGGACGGTGTTCCTTCCTCTGCCAATTCCAGGAAGGAAAAATCTTTAAGTAATGTGTTGTTTTATTTTGATACGCGTTACGGTGCTTTGGTGTTCGGTTTTCTGGTGAAAAGTTTTTATAAAAACGACGTTTTTTTACCAACTTTCTCAAATTTACGTAGTTCCCCGACCGGGGAAACAACGGCAGATGTCGCTACCGTGGCGTACAACAGCAGCGACATCTATAGTTCATGTTTGAATAATGTAAACTTACCTTCATTATAAATCAGTTTTCAAAGTGTGAAGTTGTGGATATTTTTAAACTAGTACATTTAAACTATTATATAATTTGGGGATTAATAGTTTTAAACGAACGCGTATTCAATTTAAAACAACATTGTGTGTGGGTAGGGTCTAATTTTGTATTTTTTATTAATATCCTTTTATTCTTTTCAGGTGCATAGATTGGCGTTGGAGTCAGGGGAGCTGTACCAACAGCACGGTTCGGGTGACAGTGCTGCCTCCGTACTCGGGAAGTCGGCCAAAATTATCGAAGAAGCGTCGCCTGAACTAGCAGTAGAGCTGTTCCAAATGGCCGCTGACGCCTCTGCTGTAAGTACACTATCATATAACATAACTAATATCGTTTTGTGTGTGAAACATGTGTGTGAACCGAGGATTTGGAAAATTACTTGCAGACTGCTCGTTTAAGAACGTGTGTTCATTTTTTACCCTTCGCGACTTTTTTCCAATTGCCCTATGCCGCGACATATTTTTTCCATGCGTTGACAAATTATAACTCGTATGCCTATAACACGGCCGAGCGATTGTGGGTACTTCAAGTTGTATACTTTATAGCGAATTTTTCCGTTGGCCGCCATTATAAATGTCTAATGATTGGCTAAAAATAGCAAAATTGGGTCGAGTGTCTAACATCTTTTTTGTTATTTGAAATAAACGATCTGCCGTAAGACTATAAGCTGATTAGCTGAGGCATTATGGCTGAAAAAAATTCCGACAACCTTTTTTCTTATTTTCTTATATATTGGACTAGTTTATGCCCGCGACTTCGTTCGCGTGTAATAGTGACATGGATTTTTTTCAAATGTAATATAATCTGTGTTGCTGATTAAAGATTCAGCTTTCTAGTGGTGAAACAATTTTTGATGTCGGTCCTGTAGTTTTTGTGTGGAACATACATACATATAAACATCATACAAAAGCACAAATTTTTCCTCTTGAGAGAGGAGTTTAAGAGGGTTGTTTGATGCCCCGTCCATACGATTGATGTTTGCTACAAATACCAAACACAAGAAATAAAGTCCCAAACATCGATGTGTATCAAACCTTTTTTTATGGCATAATCCGGTAAACGAGCAGACGAATCACCTGATGGTAAGCAATCGTCGTCGCCCATGGACACCTGGAACACCAGAGGCGTTACAAGTGCGTTACCGGCCTTTTGGGGATTAGGAGTTTGAGGATCGTTGTGGATTCTGGAATTGCGGAGATTGGGGAAGGGGAGGGTAATTGGGCCTCCGGTAACCTCACTCATACGACGAAACACAACACAAGCGTTGCTTCACGTCAGTTTTCTGTGAGGCCGTGGTATCACTCCGGTCGAGCCGGCCCATTCCTGCCGAAGCATGGCTCTCCCACACTTGCCTGTGGATACATCGCAAACTGTTTGTCGAACAGCCTTTAATCTGTGTTTGTGGTCGTCACTGTTCGACACCGATCCCGAACAGTGGCGAACACAAATAGGAACAGGCAAACACATACAGGCACCCATCCACATGTAGGTGTTTGCTGTTTGTTGTTTGGTTTTTGCCATTGTTTGCCAAGCGTATGGACGGGGCTTTAGGGTTTGCGATTTTGCTTAAGGATTCACAATCAACTTGTGTCACCAACGACGTTCGGCCGATTGTATATGTTACGGTTAATGGTGGGTGTGAACAAAAACTGAAGATTAGCCGGCTAAACTTAGGTTTATCTTCGAGTACCGGCTACTCTCAACTTTAAGGTCACACCCACCTTCAGCCGTAACATATATGCACTTCAACTTATACCAATTTATCATTCTTACATACATCTTATTACAAAAAAAATAAAGTTGTAAAGTCCGACCCACAATGTTTCTAGAACGTGTAGTCTGTACACAGGGCCGGATCTATGAAGCGAACTAGACTTCGTCAGTGCTCCGAATGGTAACAAAAAAAATAATAATCGTGGTAGATTACAAAACTAAATTTAGGTACGAGAAAAAAGGTTTTATTAGGTTTCCAAAGTTGTATGTTCTAAGATCTATACAAAACATATTTTTTTGATACTAAACAAGCTTATAAAGTATTTTATTTAAGGAAACAGAGTAGCTTTTGATTTTGATTCTGAAATGCAATAATATATGACGTGTAGCATAGGCATTGATGCGAGTCTTTCACCTCTTTAACTTCGCTCCCTCTTCCTTCCCCCTTCCCCCTTCATTGGCTCGACGTTACTTGTTTTTGCCTTGTGTGCTGGAGTGTGGATAGGAAAAAAGAAATTAAAATATACTGCTTAATTACAAACTGTGTTTTATTTTCCTTATTATGGAGTGGTATACATTATTATTATATATATTTACGGATTTATGGGTGTTATTATAAAAATGGTAGTTTTATTTTATAGGGAGTGGCTCATAGATCTCGCCTTGTTAGAACAAATCTCGGATGGTGTTCTTTCTGTGCTCGGTACTGGTATACATTTGTGTTTTATTATGTGTTTGTTCTCTTGTTTTGAGGCTTGCTTTTTAAATGTATATGTCTATATAAGTATTTTTTATAATAATCTTTGTAACCTTTTTAAGAGGTATAGTTTAATATTCTGCTACCGATTAGCAAACACTCAAACAAACTTACAGCTCGTTACGCGTCATCCTACAGTTATACCGTGATACATCGTAAATAAAGATTTCAAAGTAAATTTTTAATCTCTTTGTTAGTTTCAAACAATCAAATATTTCGTCTTTATAATATTAATATGGATATCAATCATAGTCATTTCTTCGGAAGATCAATAATAGTTTGTTTTATCTTTCGAATGAATCGGGCTTTATAATTCGGTTTTTTCTAATCTACATCTTTGCAGATGCGTGATTGATAGTGTCAGGTTCATTCAAAATGTAGTATTTTTGTATAGTAAATGTATCGTAAAACACACTAAACTAATTGAACCGTACCGCTTACTTACGAGAACTATTCGAGAAGGCCTCTACCGGTTTCAAGTCACACCGGGGCTCATATTCATGAGCAGCGTTTGCGACGCGGCGCGTTCGCGGCTAACACAAATAAAGTATACGTGCTTCCACAGTATTCCAGAAGTATTTTATGTACGAATACATTTTTATTGATGTAGTATTTCAGTGAGAAATACAGCTGGACGAAAAACAAACAAAAAAGGATTACTGATGTTTGAAAGTACATCCGATACCTGACCAGTTTATTAGTTCTTAAAATCAAAATATTTCGACAATACAATGGTCTCCGTTAACGTCGTGCATGCAAGTTTTATTTAAACTATATATATCTTTTATTTGCGCTTTAAATATTTATTTTTGTTTGATATTGTATTGTTACCTCACCACCGCCAGAGAATCTCCACTACACAGGTAAGTATAGGTTTTCTTTTATTCAAATAATTCTGTTTTTAATTTCGTACATTGTATAGGCTCATTAGAAGTAGCTGTAACCAATATGAAGTAAATTCGGTTTTTAAATAAGTAATTTTTTTAACGAAATATCAAAATCGATACTTTTCTAAGAATTTTGTATGAAATATTAAAAAATCTCTAGAAAAGTTATGTAAATGAAAATTAGGTTTATTGAAAAAGCAACGAATGAAAGTGTTATTATGTTTGAGCTATTTATTAAAATATTGTAAAGTCTAAATAATTTGTTTTTCAATAGTTTTTCAAACGCCAGTTAAACTTATCGGGGGCATTATTTTTAATATTCTTCCATAAAAAACTGTCGGACGTCAGTTTTTTTATATGCATAATATATGTTGATGGAAAAATCGACCCTAAGTATCTAGACAATTGTAATGAATTCGCAGACGTCGATGAATCAAAGCTATACTTTACCGACTAGCGAATTAGAGGCCAATTTATTCAGAGAACAACTTCCAAATGGTGTGTTGGTTTAGAAATTAACAGTTTTAATTAACTAGTTAGTTAGTTAGTTCCCCGCGGTTTTACCCGCTGTTCGGCTGCTATTTATTGTATTGTTAAAGTTTATAGCCTTCATGGCTATTTGAACTATCCAGCACAAAACATTATTATTTCGAACCAGTGATTCTTTGATTATCGGGATCATACAAACAAATAGTTCAGCTTTATATAATATTAGTATACTGATATTGACAGTGATTTTACTGAATTTACTTCCAGTTCTGTTAACTTCGTTGATAGTCAGTTGTTATAAAGAAACCGTACAGTAATACCTGGTGTAGTAACTATTTTTACTAAGTACCCCCAACTTGACAATTGGATACTATGAAAGTTACCCAATGACACTTTGAGTAGCTTTGAATTGCTTGCAGAAATATTTTGTGCCTGATGTCATGTATCATCAAAGGTAGGTACACGTGTTGACAAATCGCAGTGAAATGGAGGTAAAATCAATATCTTGATATATTGTAGATCAAGACATTACGGCATTCAGTGTTTACGTCTTCGTTGATTACAGATCTTGGCCAGTTATAATACCAATTTTTTTTGTAGGCGAGACTTAATATTTAATAATGAAGACGCGGTCATTAACCCATCATTGGCTTGGAAGTCTACCATAACTGTTGACTGGCAATGGTACGCAAACTATATGCGCAGACCTAGACGAAGACACTTTTAAAATAATGTGGTGCAAGGTAAAATATTTATATTACTAAATTAAATATCTATAACAACACAATAAACTATATATACAAATAACAAATATATATAACAATTTTATTATTTTTGTTTGTTCTAGCACTGCCAAAACAATAAATATATAAATAATATTTTGTAGCCGATTTTTACAAGAACTGCTTTGCTTGCAGTCATACAGCCTTCGACATAATATATGTAAGTATCAAGGTGCGCATTTTCTCAAATATTTGTAATTGTTATGCCATTGGGAAAAGCGAGCATTATTATTTTCACATTTGAAAATAGTGATTTTCGCTTTCGGATTTTGTTATTGACATACTTGTATGCTCATTGAGATAAAGAGACGACTGGCATGTTCGAATAAACTTTATGTTACCTACATATAAACTGTGGCTACTATCTGGTTACTGTTTGTTGTAGGTGGAGTATCGAAACAGAGATACTATCAGGTCTCGGTCGGATCACTTAAGGACAACGCCCCACACAGTGACAACACCCCGCTGACCACAAATACCACAGACGGCGACGACATTACGGCGAGCGGATGAAATAATAGAAAATGTTCAGGCTGTTAGGAATAAACGCGATAGAGGTCTCTCTAGTAGCCTTATAAAAATAGAAATGGTAGGCCAAGATTTAGATCGTAAGATTAGGCTTGAAGCACTTCGTAAATCCCGCCAGGCATCACATGCACAAAGGACAGACGAGCGTACAGTACCCTCCCCGTCCTGGGAAGTGGAGCGAGGACGAGGCCGAGGACGAGACCTTGTTAACCGGTTTCTTAAATTCCGTCAAGCTTCACACGCAGAAAAGAGAGAAGAGAACTCTAAAGCAAATGTACATGTCACTTCGTATACTCGTACACGGTCCTGTTCGTCACAGGAAGACGAGTCCTGGGACCCCTCTGCCTGGGTTCAGCCAGATACAAGCGGTGTGACTCCGTATCCTCGTACAGTACCTTCCTCGTCCTGTGAAGTGGAGCGAGGTCGAGGCCGAGGACGGGACCTTCTTAACCGGTTACTTAAATACCGTCAGGCATTTAATGCAGAAAAGACAGAAGAACACAAAAAATCTGATGTACATGTCACTCCGTATACTCGTCCACAATCCTGTTCGTCTCAGGAAGACGACTCCTGGGACCCCTCTGCCGGGGTCGAGCCAGATACGACAGGTGTTACTCCGTATCCTCATACAGTACCCTCTTCGTCCTGGGAAGTAGAACGAGGACGAGGCCGAGGACGAGATCTTCTTAACCGGTTACGTAAATTTCGCCAGGTATCACATACAGAAAAGACAGAAGAGCGCATAGAGGCAGATGTACATGTGACTCCGTATACTCATCTAGGATCCTCTTCGTCTGACGAATGGCAGTCCTGGGATCCCACTGCTTGCGACGTGCCGGGTAACCGCGGTGTTACTTCGTATCCTCGTACAGTACCCTCCTCGTCTTGGGAAATGGAACGAAGACGAGACCTTTCCAACTGGCTTGAAGCACAATGGCAATTCCGCCAGGTATCACACCCAGAAAGGACAGAAGAGCACACAATACACTTGAATCAGAATACTCGTCCAGGATCCTGTTCGACCCAGGAAGAACACTCTGCCTGGGTCGAGCCAGATACAAGCGGTGTGACTCCGTATCCTCGTACAGTACCTTCTTCGTCCTGGGAAGTGGAGCGAGGTCGAGGCCGAGGACGAGGCCGAGGACGCGGCCGAGGACGGGGCCGAGGACGAGGCCGAGGACGAGACTCACCTAACCGGTTTCTTAAATTCCGTCAGGCATCACATGCAGAAAAGACAGAAGAGGCAGGTGTACATGTCACTCCATATACTCGTTCAGGAACCTGTTCGACCCAGGAAGATGACTCCTGGGACCCCTCTGCCTGGGTCGAGCCAGATACAAGCGGTGTCACTTCGTATCCTCGTGCAGTACCTTCTTCATCCTTGGAAGTGGAGCGAGGTCGAGGTCGAGGCCGAGGGCGAGGCCGAGGACGCGGCCGAGGACGTGGCCGAGGACGGGGCCGAGGACGAGGCCGAGGACAAGACCCCCCTAACCGATTTCTTAAATTCCATCAGGCATCACATGCAGAAAAGACAGAACACACAAAGACAGATGTACCTGTCACTCAGTATACTCGTCCAGAATCCTGTTCGTTCCAGGAAGAAGAGTCCTGGGACCCTTCTGCCTGGGTCGAGCCAAGTACGGGCGGTGTCACTTCGTATCCTCGTGCAGTACCCTCCTCGTCCTGGCAAGTGGAGCGAGGACGAAATCGAGGACGAGACTTTATTAACCGCCAACTTCAATCTTGTCAGGTATCACATGCAGAAAGGACAGAAGAGCGCATAGAGGCAGACGTACATGTTACTCCGTATACTCATCCAGAATCTTCTTCGTCCTGGAAACAGGCATCAGGTGGCCTTTCTGCCAGGGAGCGGCCGAGTACGAGCGGTGTGAATTTGTGTACTCGTCCAGGACCCTCTTCGTCACAAGTAGGTAGGTCTGTGGATACCCCTGCCTGTAGTGTGGAAGCGGAACAGAGACGAGGTCGAGGTCGACCTATATACGGTGTCACTCCGTGTACTCGCCTAGGATCATCTTCGTCCCAAGAACAGGCATCAGGTGGCCATCCTGCCTGGGAGCAGCTGAGTACGAGCGGTGTGAACCTGTGTACTCGTCCAGGACCCTCTTTGTCTCAAGTAGGTGGGTCTGGGGATACCCCTGCCTATAATGTAGAATCGGAACAGAGACGAGGCCGAGGCCGACCTATGTACAGTGCCACTGCGTGTACTCGTCTAGGATCATCTTTGTATCAGGAAAGGCCATCAGGTGGCCCTCCTGCCTGGGAGCGGCCAAATACGAGCGGTATTAATCTGTGTACTCGTCCAGGACCCTCTTTGTCTCAAGTAGGTGTGTCTGGGGATACCCCTGCCTATAGTATAGAAGCGGAACAGAGACGAGGCCGAGGCCGACCTATGTACAGTACCACTCCGTGTACTCGTCTAGGATCATCTTCGTATCAGGAACGGGCATCAAGTGGACCTCCTGCCTGGGAGCGGCCGAGTACGAGCGGTGTGAATCTGTGTAATCGTCCAGTACCCTCTTTGTCTCAAGTTTGTGGGTCTGGGTATACCCCTGCCTATAATGTAGAAGCGGAACAGAGACGAGGTCGAGGCCGACCTATGTACAGTGCCACTCCGTGTACTCGTCTAGGATCATCTTCGTATCAGGAACGGGCACCAGGTGGACCTCCTGCCTGGGTGCGGCCGAGTACGAGCGGTGTTAATCTGTGTACTCGTCCAGGACTCTCTTCGTCTCAAGTAGGTAGGTTTGTGGATACCCCTGCCTATAGTGTAGAAGCGGAACAGAGACGAGGCCGAGGCCAACTTATGTCCAGTACCACTCCGTGTACTCGTCTAGGATCATCTTCGTATCAGGAACGGGCATCAGGTGGCCCTCCTGCCTGGGAGCGGCCGAGTACGAGCGGTGTTAATCTGTGTACTCGTCCAGGACCCTCTTCGTCTCAAGTAGGCGAGTCTGGGGATACCCCTGCCTATAACGTGGAATCGGAACAGAGACGAGGCCGAGGCCGACCTACGTACAGTGCCACTCCGTGTACTCGTCTAGGATCATCTTCGTCCCGGGAACAGGTATCAGGTGGCCCTACTGCCCGGGAGCAGCCGAGTACGAGCGGTGTGAATCTGTGTACTCGTCCAGGACCCTCTTCGTCTCAAGTGGGCGAGTCTGGGGATACCCCTGCCTATAATGTAGAATCGGAACAGAGACAAGGCCGAGGCCGACCTATGTACGGTGCCACCCCGCGGACTCGTCCAGGATCATCTTCGTTCCAGGAACGGGCATCAGGTGGCCCTACTGCCCGGGAGCAGCCGATTACGAGCGGTGTGAATCTGCGTACTCGTCCAGGACCCTCTTCGTCTCAAGTAGGTGAGTCTGGGGATACCCCAGCCTATAACGTAGAATCGGAACAGAGACAAGGCCGAGGCCGACCTATGTACGGCGCCACTCCGTGGACTCGTCCAGGATCATCTTCGTTTCAGGAAGGAGGATCTGGGAACCTCTCTGCAGGTGATAGGCTCAGTACGAGCGGTACGGATCAGCGTAGTCGTCAAGAACCCTCCTCGTCCCAGGCAGAGGTGTTATGGGAACCCTCTACGAGTCAAGAGCCGAGTACGAGTGAGGGGACTTCGCGTACAAGGCCAGGGCGCTCCTCATCCAGAGAGGAATTGCAAGGCCAAGACCAAGGTACGAGCGATGGGAATCCATTTCATCGTACAGGCCCCTTCCCGCCCCAGGCATGGGTGATTGACCCCTGGGACACCTCTTTGTCGGAAGAAGACGAAGACGAAGACGAAGACGATGACTTTTCAATTAATGAGCCTCTATCTCCTACTATGTTACGCCGACTCCGAAACCAAGGTGTGAGCTTTGCGTCTCCATTTACTGGTACAGGACCCTGGACAGGAACAATACAGGTAATGGCTGATGGAAATATTTTGTACGTTCCTGAGGAGGAATCAAATTATATTGTTGAAGAAAGGCGACATTTTTTCAAGGAGCTACAAGCTAGGTTGTCTAAAAATTTAAACGTTAACCTTAATGTAGACGAAGTTTTGGAAAATTTTGGAGACCCTAAAGATCCAAAGCTACTAGAGGCTTTCTTCAAAAAAGTGGAAGAGGATAATGCTGCCTCAGAGGAAAGTCAGGACGATCAGCCAAGAGTGGGATATCATGCAAGGCGACGATTTATGGATGAATTCAAGAGAAAGGAAAAGGGAGACGAAGATGAAAAGAAAGATTAATTGTGATTTGTGTAAGATGGAAAATGATGAAAAGTTTATTTCAAAATATACCAAAGATGTATTTTGTAAGATGTGTTACTCACATATATAAGTAATATATAAGTTCTAATTGAAGAAATTATTCAAAACTCATTTATGGCATACATAGCAGAATTTCAATATTGTGTGACAGTAGAGAAAATTGTAATTCTGTTAAATGGAGAAAATGGGATACCTATTACATGTTCGATATTTAAGTAGCGACATTTAATGTTTAGGCTATATCACAAGGAGCCGAAAGGCCAAGGTACTTACTGATAAATTTTCAAAAAAATATAATTCCATGTCAGACATGTTTATGTAAGTTATAAGTTTCAATGTTATTTAAGATTATCATATATAATCATGTATTTTAAATAAGATATGTAGCTGCTACAGTAAATGTAGTATTTAAGTTATTTTAACATAACTTCTTCAGATTTAAACTATCACACACCGAGCGGTCACCGGTGACCGCAACCTATTGTTCTTTAATTGTGTCTATATTGACGGTACTCAACGAGTTAATCATTTTCATAAAATAAGTGTGTTGTTAACAACATAAAATTTTGATCTGTATATTATGCTATCATTATATTATTAGAAGTGTATGCTAATGTTTCGTTTTTTTTCCGTCACCATGCATAAATGCCCTTATAACTAGCCTTATGTTTGCAATGCGATAGCTTTACACACACTATTTAAAGATTATGCTCAGTAAACTGGTAGTCTATAATAATAAATCAACACCCCATTCCAATTGTTGCTAATAACCTTAAGACTGGGATAGACTATTTTTATTAGTATAAAAACATAATTCTTGTTTATTCTACATTTTTTTCCTGTGTTCAAATTAATACTTCAATGCATTCGCAAAGTAGAGGGTGGTCCTAGTCTACAATTACAATATTTAAATTCTGGGCCATTTCCCGCAAAAGTGCTTACAACCGACTTAAAAACAAATTGAATATCGAAACCCACTCAGAACTGAGAACAAAGAGTTGTTCCAAGAGGGAAATAAACCCGTAATATTTAGCACAGCAGTCGGTCGCCCAACCATAGCGACGACCAAACAATTGACACAGTGCAGTGTACTGAAATAATTGAAAGGTTTCATTCAATGAAGAATTTCGTGTTCAGAAATCTAAAGCATTCTAAAATGTAGATAAATAACTTACAAGCAGGTATACAGATTTCGTATGTACTTCTGTAGTACCTAACTAATAGGAGCTTAAACAATATAATATATCATATCCGGAACTGATGATAACTGAGTTACCAAACTATTATAATATTTTTTTAAGCAAATTTGATTGAATTCAGCATTCACGGTTTTGTTGTGTGTGAATATCGTGATCATCAGATTATAGAAGTAGTCTAGTGAATTAATCCCACTAGAAATATGCTTGTTGGTACGAAACGCCTACTAAACCGTATCATAGTATTCGCTTGTGGTTCAGTAGTAGCATCATCATAATAATAATTTTAGTCGTTACCGTATATCTATACTAAAAATCTCAAAGATATAAAATAATGACATTAATCAGTCGCTAAGTCGTTACCATCAATAGATTTTCACGGCTTACCGCCTAATTTTTGTTATCATCAATGTCAGGTCACATGCTACTGAAGCTAGACTCACACAATACACGCACATATACAAACAATTCTAAGTACAACGGGGGGCACATCCGCCTAACCACCACTGAGTTAATGTTTCCTTGCATCTGATGAGATCCGTTCTAACCCCGCCCCTTGACCTTAAATTGACGAATAAAGCGAGAAAGTGGGCGGGGCTGGCGCCGGCGCAGGTAGCCGAATAATATCAAACGCGCTACTGACTGAAGGATCACACGGGTTGCGTCACTAAGATGCAAAGTTATCGCTTTTCTATCAGTTGTTTTTGCCGGGTTGAAGATATAAAATTTTAAAATGATCAGGCGGATCTGTCCTCCACTGTATAGTTGAAAACTATTTTGTGGAGAATACAGGAGAGTACGTCGCTGCTTCTTCGTGCTCCAATGTGGCTGCAGAGGTAAAGGTCTACAAAGGTAGGTTGTTGGATCCTGGTATTTAACATCTGAACTCTAAAATTGCAATTAGACCTCGTAGACATTTTTAGTGAACTAAAGAGACCTCGATAGTCCCAGATAAATAGTTTTGATAATTATCCCAGATGAATAGTTTTGATAACTATGATAACCAAACCTTTTGAAAGCTTACTAACTAACTAACCTCTGAATCATTTCGATTTCTGACTGTTAACGCAATTTTGTTTCTGTAAGTAGTTGTGGTAAAAATTTGACTATTATTGTATGGTTATTAAGATCAAGAGTGTGTAAATATTAGTTCGAACTGTCGTCAGAAAGGGGGTAAAACTGAAAGGGGTAAAAAAGGACCAAGCTAAAGAAATTGGCTACGTTATTAAACTACGATCTACGTAACTACGTTTTGGAGTACCTATATACTCGGAACCACTCGGTAGGACTTCCGAGTACAATGTAGGTACGCCAAACCTTGATTGACTCATTAGCTGACTGACTTATATGTAAAATGATATTGAAGAAACATGTTTCCAAGAAACTTTGTTCGATACTTGATATTAAAAGCAAGTTTTCAGTCAGAGATTGAAATTGATTATAGAAAAGGATATTTTAATTTTGCTGTAGACAAAGCTATTTATAGTGCAATTGGTAGCTTATGGTAGGCAAGGGCAGCAGTAAACAGCATCATCACAATCATCATCCATCATCATCAGTATCAGTATCAGAACCATGTCATGGACTCAGAGGCCTTAGTTCGACTTTGTTTTACGTTAAAAGTATTCGTAACGAGTACGCGTTCGGCACTCTGATTGGCCGGCGCAAATGAAGCAACCAATCAGAGCGCCGAACGCGTACTCGTTACGATTATTTTAAACGTAACACAAACTCGTTCTAAGGCCTCAGATAAGGGTCACTCATTCATCGTAAGTAAATGAGTATCTAAAAAAAACACTAATGAACAGTCAACTACTAATATGAAAGTAAGTGTTAGGATATGTTTGTTACTGTTTGATACAAAAACTACTGAACAGGCTATGCTCGTCCGTCATTGGTCGAGTTATTCTCACAACAAAAACAACATGGCGGACTGCGATCGAGTTTACTTAAATCATTCGAATTGAAAGTAACGAAATAGTCTAGGAGACCTGAATAATAGGTATAGGATTATAGTCCAGAATAACACACAGACCGCTGTTTATCCCGGTAATACATATGCGTGATACTTTGGTCTTTCTGTAGTTTTTGCAAGGGAAACCGTTAAGGCCGAGTAAGTACTTATCCTACTTACTCAAAAGTGATTTTTTGGTTCGATGGGCTCAATTGGGTAGTTTCCAGGGTATCAAAATTAAAAATCTAATTAGTCCGTAAGTTTGATAATGAAAAAATATTAGACGCGTATTTTTTTTATTTTGTCGTTTTACAAAACAATACTTAGATAAAACGGAGTTAAGCTTAGGAGTGGGAGGTTTTTACGTCATAACGTGCTACAAATGTTGCACGCTGTGACGTCACGCAATATTACAAATTAATATATCGTCGAAAGTATTAAAGTAAGTATATAAAATTTTGTGAGAAAAGAAAAAATACGTGTCTAAAGTTTTAAATTAATGTACCAGACGGACATTAAAATAAAATTTCGGTACCCTACTACCCTAATTCCGCACGGAGCACCTATTTGTGTGAAATCGTTGCAATCAACAATTTCACATACACATGTACCTACGTGAAATTGGACGATTGTAAATGCACCCACAACGCAGGAGAAAATCCTTATGTGGAGGGAAGTTTAAACAATATCTTAATTTTAAACTTGTCGACCACATCATCGCTTACTACCAGGCGAGATGCTGGCCAATAGCCATTCTATTGTCCTCCTTATATCCTAAATATTAAAAAAGGAAAGGCATACATCCCTTCTCAAACAAAGTACTGGCTATATCTCACCTTTTCAAAAATTTCTCAGTAAATACTATTCCCCCTGGGGGTCTTAGCATAACTGTTAAAAGTGGATAAAAGTGCTCTGTGTATTTCTGCCTATCCTTTCAAAGATTAAGATGTGTGACGTTTTGATGTAATAAGAATTTTAAGAAAGACAAAGTAAGTTACGTACCAGATACAATTTGTACCACTTATGACTAAACCGTTAATGTTTATATAACATTATTATTATTATGTTTCCAAAGAAGTCAGGATCCCTAGACAATTGATGATCGTAGCTTACTTCACTACAAGATAAATGTTCTAAAACTATTTCTTACCTTCCTACGCCTTCTCCTTCCGAAATATGAAGGAAACTCGCCATGATAGATGGTCACCCATCCACAGACCAATCTCGGCAAGGGTTGCTTAACCTTGGCGATTGATTACTACAATCTTGTCTACTACCCTATACTATATGTATATTCTATTATTCTACCTTATAAATAATATTATTTATATATAAAAATCTTGTAAAATATCCATACGGAATATCTTAGATTGAGATGACTTTAAGCCACCGTATCTCCGTAACTACAAACAATTGACCATAGAGACATTAGTAACTAATATTCCGCTTAAAAAGCCCTATCCAACGGTATATCTCATGTTACTGTTGAAGGGTGGGCCCAGACTCCATACTTTGGGCATTGGGCATAACCTCAAACATAAAACTGGCTATAACTCTTAGGTCCCAACTTCTAAAAATCTAAGAATTTTAATAGGGCTTGCCGATCATGTTGACTACCAATTAAAACAAAAAACATTCCTAAAGAATAAATGTCTTGCTGTAACAAACTCCCATACAAGCCTGCCATTCGCCTTTTTAGTGATGTATAGGTATGTATGTATAGATAAAGGTGTTTTGAAAGACCGCAAAATTCTTAGCATTAACTTTTTGATTATATTTTTATTAAAAAAAAAAAACCGTTGCCCCACTAGGATTTTCTCCTGTATCGTAGTAAATTAAACTATATTATGAGGAATATTGAAATATTGTTCATGAAAACATTTAGATTGTAACCTTCTGGATACACAGACACAGGAATTCCACATCTTAGATAGTTAGCACTCGTTTAACTTGCACTGGGGGCCTATATAGTGGGTTTTTTAACGAGATCGATACGTTACCGCGTTTAATCTCTGATTGGTTCGTTAAAAAGAGCTGGCCAATCAGAGACTCGAACGTCATAGACGTGGCGGTTGCGTTAACGTTAAACAATGTCGGACTAGGCCCTCTGAAGCGTTTATTGCGAAAGGATGGAATATCCAATATGAAATGGAGGCGCCATCATGAATAAAATCAGAGATCATAGACGCCCTAGACGGACATATAGTGACTAGATTGGCGATATATTAAAGAAGGGCCAAATTAAAAGTACCCTTAACCGACGAGCATGCATGGAAAGATTGATGACTGTTAATGAAGCGAAAGACGTATGTAGAAATCGTAGTAATTGGCGTTCCATAGTCTCTGCCTACCCCCATGGGAGACAGGCGTGGAGTTATGTATGTATGTATCATAGAATCTGTGCGATAGGTAAAGTAGGTATTTTATTATTATACTCCCAATTGCAAATCAGTATTGGTAACCAAAATACTACAATCAAATAGGTACACCAAAACATGATAGTAATTGCTACTTAGTTAGACGTAGTTATGGCTATATTAAATTGTCTGATCTTACACCGATCGATCAGATCACAGACCCCTTCTCGAAGTAACGAATCACAACATACACCCCATATTAAAACATATATTTTGCTTGCATTAAGTTCAATTTAGCTTGCATCAAATTAATTCAAAGCATAGTGAACCCTATATCAAAAGCACTAACGTAGGTACAATTTAATAAGAGCTTAAAATCCAGCCCTTCATCAACAAGCGTAAGAGCAGTCTGTAGTTACATTCAATTTATATCTTACACTGTTCTTGTAAAGTTTAAAATGTTATGCACCGATGCATGTGACTTATGTCCTTCTGCTACAGGGAGTTGAGATGGGCCTTTATTGATTTTTAATGTTAACCAATAGTGTTCCGGTGCGAGGGGGAGTACTAATATTTCTAGTCCCCCTCATCACCCTTCCCCCGATGTTGCAACTGTTTACACGTGAACACAGGGTGAATTTTTTGTGTTGTAAGTGGAAAGCTCAGTACGAAAACACAACAAGACAAAAATCATCCTTTACATTTAAAAATTGTTACTCAATTTTTAAGAGACTCGAGGGATTAACATTTTTTGTTGTAATCCGGTTCTAAAAATACGGAGGTACCTATTAAAAGTATGCTAGGTATGGGTTATGGAATGTTCGCTCCAAAATTCGCCATTTTGAAATTTAAGTCTTTGTTAAATATTTGTCCTTATTTTTTGCTTTGCCGTTTTGATAGGTAGATTAAGGTATTAAGATAGATTTGTTGGAGGTTTTTATTGGGGTTTTAAAACATCATGTCCGGCGTATGACATGGTATCAAAGAGATAGCAGAAAATGTCTTTGATATATTTTTGTTACTAGCTTCTTCGCTTTCGTTCACGGTATACAAATTACTATATGTGATATTCTAAACTTTAATCTAACTAGGTACTATACTTCATCCAAGTCCATCTAGTAAATTTTTCGTGAAAGAGTAACAATCACGTCTATCCATAAATACTTACAAACTTGCATTTGTAACAGTAGGATTAGTATAATAGTGAATGCTGGGTTTGGAAGAAGAGGTATGATAGTATGGAGAAGTGTGTGTTGTGTTTCTTTGAACTATAGGGAGAGGAATGAGGGTGTATGCAGACCTTGCAACATCAAAGATGACGCTTTGGACATCGTTACCCTATTCTTCTCTGCTGCGGAGAACGTAATAGGTTACCGGGGATCCGGCTCGAACTGCAGAAGTAGGAATGGGGTGGTTTTTAGTCAATAAGAGCCTGACACTTCTTCCCGCTTCACCCGGCTGGGAAAAGCCATTCGATGAATTTACCCCCTTTAAAAAAATCTTTGTCTCGTACTTAGAAAAACTACTACAGAGAGTTTTTTTTACCTTGCACAAATATTTTTTGTATACTATTAAAACTGCTAAATACATGCGTAATTATAGGTCGAGTAATAATTGAACAAATTGAGAAGTACCTACCACATACATAAAAATGTGTGTAGGTAATTGTATTCGTAATCTCGATCAAACAATTACAATGCAAAATATATCAAAAGGCAGGATACACTGGTTTATCGGGCTGCATGATGCAGGGGGTCGAGCGCTGGGGTAGGGGGTAGGGGAAGACAAATAGGAATTGAGGAGCGCGGGAGGGAATGCACGCTGGCCACCTAATTGTACATTATAGAATCACCAGGAGAAGAAATTGTTTTTATAGTAGTTTAACGTAGTTAGTTTATACCTAGTCAATAGACACCTGACGCCCGTATACTGAGGCTACCTTTTAAATTGTACCTCAATATCGTGCCATCTTTGTCATTGTACAAAGATTTTGTAGGGACAGAGATATACTTGAATGAAGCGTGACTTAATTGCGTTATTTGGACATCGAGAATATTTGGATATTAAGAATCCTCGGATATTGAGAGTATTTTGGACACTGAGAGTATTTGGACACTGCGAGTATTTGGATATTGAGAGTATTTGGACACTGAGAGTATTTGGACATTGAGAGCATTTGGACATCGAGAGTATTTGGACATCGAGAGTATTTGGACATTTAGAGTATTTGGACATTATGAGTATTTGGACACTGAGTATTTGGACATTGAGAGTATTTGGGCATTGAGAGTATTTGGATATTGAGAGCATTTGTACATTGAGAGTAGTTGGACATTGAAAGTATTTGGACATTGAAAGTATTTAGACATTGAGAGTATTTGGTTGGACATTAGGCTTACAAATACAATAGGTTTACACAAATACATTATGGTTTCAGCTAGGTCGTTCAGGAAAATGTTAATTCGGAACCTCGAACTGAACTCGTTTGCATATTCGCCCGTCATAGGTCGCGATTGAGGTACACCTAACAAGCACGACTCCGATAGGGCTCCAACCCAGCAATTTACTTGTTTTTTTTCTTCTTTGGCAACCGAAATTAACTTGTAATTTAAATATGAACTTTAAATCGTAGGCCATATGACAAATTTCATAATGTCAATATGAAAACCTTTTTGTATTGTTAGGTGTGCGATGCCCTTAATTCTCTAAACCAATGACATGATGGACCGCAATCGAGTTCATTTCGATTTTTCGAATTGAAAGTTGCTTATCTCAGCAGTTCTAAGATGGTAAAGCGCGGCTAGATTCGTTGAACAAGAACATAAAGTTGAACCTTTGCAAATGAATATTGATGAAGAAATTGATTAATTTGACTATAGCGTCATTGTATGACCATAAAGTAGGCTAGTATTATACTTTTTTCTTTTTATTACAGCGTTGTGTTTGTGTTATGAACATGAACATCCTATCTGAATAGGTATCAATTTGCCTAACCTAATTCATTTTTTGATTTTTAACCGTTGCCCCAGACTTGGCTTTTCTCCTGTGTCGGGGGTGCGTTCACAAACATACAAGTTCACATACACGTGATACCCAGACCCGGAACAACAATTTGTAGACCACATAAAGAGTTGTTCCGTGCGGGAATCGAAACCGCGACACGTTGCGCGGCAGCCGGTTGTCCGGCCACCGCGCCAACCGTGCAGTATTGCAAGTCTTGCTCAGATATATTGCTGCAATGTTATGGGTGTTATAATCTTTGGATAACTTGGATTTAAATCTAAACTAATATTTTAAAGAGGATACTGTTGTGTTTTTGTATGTAGAGGTAAGTAGGTATGTGTTTGAAAAATAAACTCTCCGGTAACTTCATTGATATGTACGGTTAGAGGTCAAAAGTCCACTGCCACCGTAAGTCTACTATTGGTTGCGATGCAGCGTTTATACACACATGCACACGCATATTTATAAAACACAAAGTAAGCTTACTTTGTGTTTTATATATCGTGATCATGATATAGATTATAAATCTTTGTAATTAAGCATGAAAACGGTTTGAGAGGTGACAAAAGATGTAATCGGTGATCCATCTAGTTGTTAGAATTAGGATTACGTATTGTGTTTATGCACCTAATGCCGGGTCCAATAACAAACAGCGAACACGAACATGTGGATACTTGTTTGTATGTGTGTGCCTGTTTCTGTTTGTGTTTGCTACTGTCGAGCCGGACCATACGTCTTTGAAACTGCGAGTAACTTTACAAAATGTGATTCCGATTAGGGCAGCGATTGGTCTCCCCCATGTCTTTTTTTTAAAGACTTATTTTAATGACTGCTCCCGCGTGGGTGAGGCGGGAGGGAGTGTCAGACTCTTACTGACTAAAAACCACCCAGTTTCTTCTCCTGCATGTCGAGCCGGAACCCCGTTTACCCGTTAGGTTTTCCGCGACTTCCGCCATGTCTAGGATTACTATTATATTAGCAATGAAAAACAAGTCAGCGATGGAGGACAAGTTGGCGATGAACATGCGGAAATTCGGAATCATTGGTTTTAATATTCGTGTAACAATACAACCAATTAATATTTTAACCTAAATAGATGTATTTATGTAATAAAGATGTTTTCGTGTGTCGTGTAATTTATTCTCATTGATACCCTCAACCTATCTTTTCTTATTATACCTTTTCTTACCTAACCTATTGTTATTTCTCTTTTTAGACGGAGAGCAGTCAGCACCAGGGTTCCGAGTACATCAGCAAAGCGTCCCGCCTCCTCGTCAAACTACAACGGTAATTTATACAATACTTTACATACCACAATATTAATTCAAAGTATTTTCAATCGACTTCAAAAAGAAAAATATGGTGGATCTCTTTGACTTGTACGCAATTATGTCTAAATTGGCTGAACCGATTTTGATGTGGTTTACAGAAAAGTGCTGTACTAATGCGCTACTTTAAGGTTTTAGTATATTAATTGAGTTCAAAAAGGTGGGGTTGAAGTCGGTTTTTTAAACATTGTTTATAACAGAAGTATTTATGTAAAATTTTTGCCCTACACTTACTCTATTCTGTGGGTGCGTTTACAAACATACAATTTCCGACACGCATCACACATATGACACAGACTCAATAATAATTTGTCGGTAACACAGAATTGCAGCCGGTTGCCCACCCACTGCGCCAGCTGAGCTGTCAGTTACTTTTGTTTGGAATACAACTAAGGTTTTGCTACTCTTTTTTACACTTTGGAACAACTAGCTTTTGACTTCAAAAGTGCGTCTTTATTAACTCGTCGGGTACCGGTTTTGTAGACACAATTATAGAACAATAGGTTGCGGTCACCGGTGACCGCTTGGTGTTTGACAGTTTAAATAAGTTTTGCCATTATATGGGGCTTGGCATTTGGTTTATCAGAGGACTGCTACTCAGTGTTTATTAAATGCAGTTCCGTAGTTGCACTTGTACGACACCCGCGGGAGTATGATGATGAAGACGGAACGGTGATAATGAAGACGTCATATTTTATTTATTTAATCTCTCATGTACAAAATACAACAAAATAATGGTACATGAGGCGGTTAAGTTCGCCATATGGCATTCATTCAGTCAGTAGACGGATCGCCTGTTGGTGAGCAATCGCCGCCGTCCATGGACACTCACAACACCAAAGGAGTTGTCACCGGTATTTTAAAGATTTGGAGGTAATCTCCAGACCTCCAAATCCTTACAAAGGAGATGAGGAATATTTGCGTTGTATTTAAATATCGACTTAACTGATTTCAGCTATGACCAGGCTGTGGACAGTCTGCGGCGGGAGATCGGCTTTCACCAAGAGGCAGGAAATATGGGAGCTATTGGAAGACTCACCGTTGCTATTGTCCTCGTCCAACTCGCCAGGGGAGATGCTGTCGCTGCCGAAAAGGCTTACAAGGTAGGTCACCTGTTCTCTTTTCAAAAGCTATGAAAGTAAGCAATTGGCGTTACCTTTGGAAACTGGCAACACTTCAGGAGTTTAAAGTTCAGTGTTGGCCTTCTGGCGATTCAATTTGAGGATTGGGAAGTTGTGGAAGGAGTGGGAGGACTAGAATGGATTGACAATCAAGCAGTTGTGGATACAATTCACTCGCAACGCCTCTGGGAGCTGCAATTGGTGTTAGGATAATTGAGGAAGGGAAGAGGTTTAGGCAAACAACGCAACTATTATTTCCCGACGGTTTTCTGTGATGCCATATATCACTCCGGTCGATCTGACTCATCCGTGCAGAAGTATGTCTTTTGATTAATTCTGTACGGCAATGAACGCAACAACGAGCGCCAGAGGTGTTAAAAGTGCATTTCTAGCCGTTAGATGGTTATCCGGGGATTGGTTATCCGGTATCCTCACACGGTCCTTCTTGTGGAATCTTATTACTACTAGACTCCAGTTATGTTCCATTTATCCCTATAGTAAAAATCATGCCGTACGTACATGCTGAGAGCATATGCTGACTACATTTTTCAGTACACCTAAGAATTGTCAATTTCATACTAATTCCTCATTATGTCACAGGAATGGGGCAGCAACTGCGAGGTGGCTGAGATGCAAACATTGGAACAAATACTCCAAGCCTATGATGAAGAAGACAGAGAGTCAGCGAAGCGTGCGTTGGCCAGTCCCTTCATCCGTAATATGGACGTGGAGTACGCTAGATTGGCGGCCATGGTTCCATTGCCAGAAGCCATGGAGCCGGCCCCCAGAGCCACCGTCGTTGAGAATGCCGCCCCGTCTTATGTTAGCCCCAACGCACACTCCACTACAACTGCGGTATGTAAAAAAATAATGTAACAAGAAAAAATTTAATGTAACAAAGACAGGACAAAAGAAGATAGATTAAATGAAAGAAAGAAGCATAGAGGAAAGATTGAGTGAAAGTAGGAAAGAGGACAAGTTAAATTAAAGAAAAGGAAAGTAGAAAGATTGAAATAAACAAAGAAAAAAAGAGGAAAAGCATTCCTTTTCTTTGCTATGATTGTATGAAAGAAAGCAAAGAAGAATAATTAATTGAAAGGGAAGATTAAATTAAATGAAAAAAGGGAAAAAGAAAGAAAGAGGAAAGTTTTTATGAAAAATAGAAAGACGGAAAGATGAAAGGTTGCTAGAAAGAAGGAAAAAAATGAAATGATATTTTGAATGAAGAAAAAGAAAACGAAGAAAGATTGAATGAAAGAAAGGTGGAAGTAAATAGGAACGATGTATAATTTTACAATTTGTTAAGATTGTGTGATAAGATGGATGAATGTAAATAAAACTAAAGTATGTAGCGAGCAACGAGTCCCGGTTCGATTCTCGGTGCGAGTAAAGAATGAAATATTTGATAATGCTCAATATAAGCTAGACTACATTCTGGGATGGTGCTCGGAGCAAAGAAATAGGATAAATGGTTGTGTGTGCGTCTGTCTAACATCAGTCGTCGGTTTATATTAATTTTTTAATGTAGTTTGGTAGGTTTTAGGTTTACAAATAAGGTTTTTATTTTAATCGCGGGTTACTCACGATAGTTATTATAATAACAAGGTTTTTTTTTGTTTGTCATGGATGTTTTAACAAACATACATATATATTACATTAAGATCCCGAATAATAATTTGTCACTTTGTATTGTTTCGTGCGGAAATCGAACCTGAGACACGTTGCGCAGCAGCAGGTTGTCCAGCTGAACATTTTTGTAGTTTTGAAGATTTTACAGCCGACTGTGTAGTTTCGTGTTCGATGACTGGTTTTGGTATTGCAATTTGATTTTTGACTTAACTTGGCGTGGTAATAAAACGTTGCCCCACACTAGGATTTTCTCGTGTGTCGTAGGTGCATTTACAAACATACAAGTTCACATACACATGACACCCAGACCTGGAACAACAATTTGTGGATCACACAAACAGTTGCTCCGTGCGGGAATCGAACCTGCGACACGTTGCATGGCAGCCAGTTGCCTTGTCACCGTAATAACCGTGTTGTCATTAATCTGTCATCCATTGAAGACTGTCAGAATACTCACTGAAGAATTCGTTTGGTAATCGAATGAGATATACTGAATTAATTAAAAAAGATTTACTTACGGAAAAAAAGAGATAAGTACTATTATTTAAATCACACTGGGTGTCTATCACAAGCGTAGTCTATTGTTTTGAAGAATTTGTTGAGTTTGTAAATCGAATGAGACATACTAAATTAATTAAAGATGTTAATTTATTTGTGTAAATATAAACAAAGAGAAGAGTAATTTTTAAGTTCAGTCAGTAAGTTACTGTGGGATAAGTATTTAATAGTTACTTGAAAGGAGAGTAAATTTACTGGGCTGAAGAGTTTGGTACTTGCCTTAATCAAAAATAAATTATTTTGACTTTCGACAATATAAAGAAATATTAAAAAATAAATACATTTTCATTAATTGATATTATGACCAATTAAATTTTAGCATATTTCCAGTAAATTTTTAAGAAATAAATAATTTGTTTGATGTTAAAAAATGTGACGTCATAATACACAGTCTCGTATAAAATTCATAGAAAGTTGTCGTTTTTGATAGATCGAAAAAAGTATTGAATTAGATGTGTCGAGGAATCGAATTGTGGTCTTTGCGAGCTGGTGGTACGTGGAAGTCTGTTAGGCGCAGGTGCAACAGCAGCAGCTTCTCGAAGAGCTTCGAGACAGTGTCCAGGAGCGTGATGGGGCGATAGCTCCCCGGCAGCAGTGTGTTCTTCCCCTGTTTGGGCAGCATGATTACTCTGCCGAGCTTCCACTTGGCAGGGAAGTGTCCGGTGCGGAGGATGCCGTTGAATAGCCGCGCCTTTATATAAAGTCATATAAAATCTACATAATCAATACATAGTATAAAACAAAGTCGCTTTCGCTGTATGTCCGTATGTATGCTTAGATCTTTAAAACTACGCAACGGATTTTGATGCGGTTTTTTTTAATAGATAGAGTGATTCTTAAGGAAGGTTTATATGTATAATACATACATATTGCACCCGTGCGAAGCCGGGGCGGGTCGCTAGTTATATATAAAGAAATGTAGTAATAACCTTTGTATGTATTTTTCTAATGATATTGTGCTACTACTATTTTGCACTTGAAATATATAAATCCATAAGTAATACTATATAAAGTAAAATAAATGTTAAATATTTAATATTCCACACTTTATAAAGGTACTTTATTTATATAATTTTAAAATTATACTTACTTACATTAATTTAATATTTCAATTAGGTAGGTATAATAAGACTAAAGTTTAAAAAATACTATTTACTAAAATTTCAATATTTTTCAAAAAAATAATAAATTCAAACAGTTACAAACACGACCAAAAATAAAAAAAATCCTGTATTTTTATAATTTCAATTAAATACATACAAAATTACTACTACCTAAAAATCTCCTAAATCAAAAATCGAATTCAAGACCTCCCGCTCAAAAATAATACTACACACCACCAATCCATTGGCCATTAAAATTATATCAACAATCACTGCAATTATAATTATTAACTTAATAGCATTTGCATCTAAATAATCAATTTCGCACACCAAAAACGTCATTTCCTGGCCCACCGAACCCGTGCCAAACAGTCGAAACAATACCCATACATACGACAAACGCACTGCACCGACCTGCAGACTGACTCAGCAGCACTCGACCTGGGTTCGATTTTCAGGTCAGGAAAAAGTTGTGAAATATTCAATATGTAAAGAAATCTTTGTTTTATTTATATTACCTATGAAAAGTAAAATCAGTTATATTATTACGTTGTATCCTTTCCTTAACTAACCATATTTAATTGGACTGCATAGTTGATTGACGCATTGTCTTGACAGCCGGTTGCTGCACGTATCGCGGGGTCGGTTCCCTCACGGAACAATTCCTTGTGTACTCCGTAAACTGTTGTTTCGGGGTCTAGCTGTAATAAGTATGCGAAATCTATCTATACCTCTATATATAAAAGAAAGTCGTGTTAGTTACACTATTTATAACTCAAAAACGACTACATCCATTTGGATGAATATTGGCGGGGAGCTTAGAACCAGGAGACGGTTATACGATACTATTTATCCAATACTTTTTTTTTTACTTTTTTCCCAAAATCACGAACGGGAACGGGGGAAAATGGGATTGCGTGTACGAAGTCGCGGGCAGAAGCTAGTTACATATTAAACACGTCACGAGAAAGTGTAGGGCAACATTTCATTTTTATAAAATTATAAATGAAGCTCTTAAATCACCATTTATTAAATAACTAGCAACCCAATATGCATGTATTATACATGTAAACCTTCCTTAAGAATCACAGTACCTATTAAAAAAACCGCATCAAAATCCGTTGCGTAGTTTTAAAGATCTAAGCATACATAGGGACAAACAGACGGCGGATAGCGTCTTTGTTTGATACTATGTAGTGATTATTTTAACATATAAATAACATAACCTTTCTAAATTCCAGGAAATATGCCCAAAAGTTGAGGAGTCGCCATACGCCCCGGTGACTTACGCTCCTAAGAAGCCAGCGGAGGATGAAGATGGGCTCTGCTAAGCTGCCATCGTCACTTCGTATTATTTTGCATGCCTACCCAAGTTGATGGTGATAGCGCGATGATATTACAATCTAAAAAAAGCGATTTGGTCTATATTTTAAGGGAAACTGGCGAACCTCTGCCTATATAGTATAAAACTGTAAAGATTTAGGCTATTCTGAGTTGTCTAAACTACAAACTAGCCTGTATCTTTTTTCTTGACTCCAAGGTGAGAAACCCTCATGAAGCCCCCTCACCTTGGGCAAATGGAAGGGACTGTCAGAGTCTTTCTGACTGAAACCCACCCCGGTGTCCCGTCTCACACCTGGGTACGAGGGTGCGGGTTCTTCCGCGGCCCCCGAACTCGTGGCGGCCTGCGCGTACACACAACACGCGCCTTTGAAACCGTCTCGGGTCCTTTGATACTAGGTGACGGAGACTTTCACCACCGTCCCCGGACCCATTTAGGGGGGGTCGAAAGAGAGCGATTCTGCTCTTCTTCGACACTCGGTGCGCCTACTGCGGGAAGGTAGAGAAGTTATATTTCCCTTTCCCTCTCCGCAGCCTCCTTCCGCGACATTACATCTTCGCTGAAGGACACCACTGCATCCGACGACTGCACTGCCGACCATTCCACAGTGTCAGGTCGTCACCGATCTCCAATATGAGAGCGCGACGTGACTCATGCCAAGCAACGCACTGCGTAAGAGTTTGCATGCCGTATCCTCCTCAATGGACGCAGTGATGGCACCGAGCGTCTGACTCCCAGCCTACGCTATACAGGAACTTCCCGAAACACCCATGCCCCGAGAGTACTTGCGTCACTTGGAACGACAGGTAGCCGTGCTTTCTCCCGAGCCAGTCGTGGACTACTGGCCCAACCGTCACGATGGAGTTGAGCCCAGCAGTAGAGCATTGAAGCCTCTACGGCCATTCCGCCCCTAACACCTGCCGAAGGTCCGACCGATGCGATGCTATCTGCCGTTGCATTAGTCGGACACCCCGTTCCTGCTGTTCTTTACGCCACAGATACAGTGACGCGAGTACTTTCACTTCAAAGTCCCAGGGCAGAGATCCAGCCAGTACACAAGCTGCCTCCTAGAAAACCGTGCGATAACCCCTTATATGACTGTAACAGCCATCGCCTTTTGCGCCCATATCGGGGCGTCATACATGGTCATATATCGCACGATTGTCTCGTAGAGTCGCCTACAGGCGGTGCTCGGGCCTCTTTATGCGCAACTTATGCGCCAGCCGCTGTAATTGAGGACAGAAGTCCCAACGGCTATCGAGTACCAATCTTAAGTACTTTATGGTGGATTTGACAGCTATTCAGGTCCCACTGACCGCTATATGAGACTCCAGCGGTGGTACGCGTCGAGGGTCATGGAACGTAATGGCCTCCAATTTGTTGAGGGCCACTATATCAGACCCAGGCGCCAGATGCGGCTCATCACCTGTGACACCGCAGCCGTGGCTAACATCGCTGCCTCCCTATAGGCTCCCACGGGCGGTGACTAACGTGTCGTCTTTGTAACACGTAAGGTCGGCGCCCAACGGAAGCTCCCCTCTCGACACCCAGTCGTACCCGACGTTCCACAAGAAAGGCCCCAATACTGAGCCCTGTGGAACACCACAAGTGATGGCGCATCGATGTACGCCAGTACGCCATCATGTCCCCACTAGGTGACACACCTGCCATCTAGGTTAGGTAACATTCTACTGTGTGACGGAGGTAGGAAGGCACGCGGTGATAAAAATAATCTATATCTAGTTTAAATTGTGCCAATTCTCTGTACAAAGGAGACGCAATTTTATAGGATTGTAATTGTTACTTGTAATCAATTTAATAAAACATTAATTGATGCAGAAAAATAACAAATTTTTAATAAAAAATAACTATCATTGTTCAAGAGATACTTTGCATTGGTTATTTTTCTTGTATCAGAAATCGCGCTATCACCAACATCTAGCTTTATTAGCTTTGTTTGTTATATTGTAAACATGTCATTTTTATCGCTACGCACTATAGCACTTTCAAACAAGCACTGCAAATGCACCCTGCCGCCATTTTACATATTTTCATGACAGGGCTAACCTTGATATATTATTAATTCTGTTACATCCAAAAATAACATTTTTCGAAGGCTATATCATAACTTTTAAGACCCAAAAAGGCAATTTCTTGGAGCCTATATGATCATTTTGGAAACAATCACCTTCGATCTTTAATCCTTCCCTGTCCATAAATTGTATGAATAAAAAAATTGTGACTGAACCAATGCAATATAAAGCTGTACGTATGTATGTACAGTTTAATGAAATAAAAAGCAATGGAAAGCGGGAGCTTTAAACTAGTTTTAAAGTATCGCTGTTTTGTTGAAAGATTCGTAAAGTAAAGAATCGAAGTTTATTGTTATATATGGTAACTTTTGGGAATTAATTCAAAATACCGGTTTGAAGAATGGTTAATCTCTTATTTACCGGTATTTTTGATTAATTTACACCCGTACTCGGATATGTTTAATGGTTACTTAAATTATTACTTAATGACGATTTTGTTCCGAAAACAATTACTAAGGACTGTGGTACCGAGTAAGTGACTATTAAATGATTCTGAGTACGGCGGTTAGGTATGTCGCACGGTAGTAGTTATACAAACTTTTGGAAATTTTAAACTTGAAAGATAATGTAAACGTGTTTTGGATTCACGTGGTAACAGTGTCACGATGCATAGGAATGTCAGGAGTCGTGGTTTATTAAGATAACTTGTGTTTTGTAACAACTGCTTAAAACTTTGACTCGTAACAACAAATTAGAAGAATATAAGAGAACAAATACATGTAAATTTTAATAATCCACATTCCTGATTGTTTAGTATAAAGAAATTAAGTTCAAATTGAACATCGACTTCAAACAATACGATGTTAATACTCATTTTGGTACTGTTTTCGCGTGATACAATCGAAATGATATATATAAAAAAAAACGTTTAAATAAAATCAAATTGGCATTGAATCAAATAGAACACAGTATATGATAGGTAATGGAATTTTTAAAAGAACTAATTAAAAGGTATCGCTCGCGCTATCCATGTGTATTGAATATAATATGTCTGTATTTATTGAAGAGATACAAGATAGATGTATAGATTCAATTACATCAAGCTCCAAAGTCAAGGTAAATTGTCCAAAAAGCGCGAGCGACATAAATCTATTCAGCGTTGTAGTAAATTGTAAAGAAATGACAAAACTATGAAAGTTAAATTAAAAAGTTGTTATAAAAAATTAAAAATATATGAAATTAGGGATGAAATGTTGTTACGAATTCTTCAAATCGCTTCGCTTCTTGCATTTTTATAGAATTTCGTCAATTGATACTTCGCTAAACGATGATCTACACTTTTTCTATCGATTAGGCGAATGTGGACTTCATGGACAGTAGCGGAGATGTCTATTATTCAATATCAACATTCTTGTCATGGTTTTACATACCTAATATTATAATCAAACTTGCTATATTCTCGCAAAAGTCATAGAATATAAAATACTATAATCTGTATGTCAAATATTATAATAATTATATCAAAACAATATAATAAATAATAAAATATAATTAATATTTATCTACATAATAAGCAAAACGTGCGTGAAGTTTGTTTAAGTAGAATTCGGGTGTGTTTTTAATCAAATATATTTAAAAATAAATTAATATTGTTATAAAAATCAATTGGTGATATTATATGCTTATTTATTATATTTTATGACAAATTCATACGCTTGTTGATGCAAAAATAATTTTATTATGATGTTACAGAATTAAAATAATAATGAAATTATTTATTTTGAATGAAAATATTTGATTTCACATATAGAAGGAGAGACGTATAAATGCTGTTATTAATATAAAATGAAATATCTGATATTAAATAGTAGTTGAAACCGTTAATATTTTTCTGGTCGAATATATAATGTTGTGAATCAAAATAAAATTAGACTTGATAAGGACATAATTCTCCTTGTCGTATATATTCGAAATACGTCAAATCAGTGTGACTATAGAATAAAAATATTAGGTACTTATATACAAAGAACTATACTCCGTATTAAGAAGCTATTCATGTTTTTGTTGTATATAATGACTTTGTGGAATAGTTAATATGAAATCTTGTCATGATTTGACCGACAGTTAATGAATTGGATATAAACAAAGCTTGCTTACATTCATTTCATTATAAACGTTATTCTCAATTGCTATTAAGTCACATTTCGCTTGCACTTAGTTATTATTAATGTTAAAGAATATGCATTTAAGCGATTTGTGTTTGTGTGTACTATGAAAACAGTTGAATGATTCTGATCATTTCTATGTCTAATTTAATGTATGAATAATGTAATAAAACTGATCTTTGTGTGACACCGTATATGCGATGTGATTGTAAGGTTATTATATGTATAATGTAGATACAGGCTGTTTATTGTAAACTGAAGACGAACAATCGAACAGCCTGTATTGGTCCATAAACACAATATTATTACGTATATATTATAGCTAATTTTGGTTAATTTCATTTCCTACAAACATTAATTTGATAATATACATTATGTCTCAAATTTTCTTCACCTGTAGGCCTAATACTTAATCTATGAACCGACCGATTTTAAGGGATATATGTCTATAATAATTAGAATTACTGTTGTATAAAAAATACATATTTTGTCAAAAATATTTGTATAACTGTCCACATGATTCTATATTCTCGTATGGTCAACGTTTTACTGTATTGTGATGTGGGTGTGGGTACGGCTTGCGTGCGAATGTCGGTCTGGCGTTTACCTCTTGGTCTATTACTTGCAAAGGCTTTTACCCTTGCGTTATACATTCCCATGTACATTTGACGTGAACTGTACCCTCACACAATTTAGCTATGAATCCCTTAAATAAGTCGTGTTAAGCAGTGCTCTTCTATCGCAAAATTTGTGTTGTGTGTTTTATGTAGCGCATAATAAGATACATTTTTAAATGTCCTATTGTTAAACAATCCGAGCGTCTTGATGATCGTCTGTCAATTTGAACAACGCACATTCCATTGTCTATGATTAAATTAAAAAGTCGTAGCTGTAATAAAAATTAGAGTATTGGGTCAGTATATTGTGACCTACGAACTTATCTGGACCCCTTTACTACATAGTAATTTATTATAACGTGATTCAAAGGATGAACCTGACATTTTTGAGAATTTATAAAAGTACACAAAGAAGACGTTGCCCCATGAATTTTGAACTTGCTACACATTTATTAGGGTAAGTCGCGTTATATAGAACACATACGCATACAATGCTTCTATTGATATATATAGTGTATAAGTATATAACTTATTGTTATATCAAATCAATGTAGTGAGATCTAGTGATATAAGTGTTAGCGCGTCTACTAATAGTGATTTATCGAACTCTAGATATTCCATTCAAGCTCAAGATCCTTAGGAACGTGCTTATATACTTACTTATTATTAGATTTCCTATAAGTTTTATTTTAATGTTATTTTCAACCTTGTATAGTTCCCTGAGTTCGTTATTTTGTATAAAATGTATTTTGTTTCGTAATTTCTGTTAATATTGTATTCAGATAGTAAATTATTGTTGGAAGGTATTGTTATTGAATGCACTGCCGATTAGAATAGACCTCTTTGGAAATACAAAAGTTTATGAAATTAATTGCTTGTAGGATATGTTGATCATGGACGACGTTGATGTTTTCAAATTATATTCTCAAAAGTTATATTGATAGTCTATGGATGTACTTAATTACCAGTCTTTGGTTTTGCTAATTGGCAGTGTATAGGATTAAGTCGTTTATTAACTACGAAATTACGAGAGAAGAAATATTGTGAAACATTTTAAATCCACTTTAAGATTATTAGTATGTGGATTTAAATTCAAGCAGAATCGTATAATGATTATGAATAATTAGTAGTGTTAATTAAGATTTGAAGACGGGGCTTCCACATGTTGCCAGTGAGACGGGAAGTCTGGTAAATTAATGTTAAAATTATATATTATACGCACAATTTATATGTGTATGTTGCTTTTTAGACCCTATGGCGATACCATACCGTCTATTTTACTGTGTCCATGCGTTAAAAATGTTATTTCTCGTAATTTCGTAGGAAATGTCCAAAAGACAAGTTTTCTTATATTGAAGTAAGATTGTTTGGTATGAATTAAATAAATGTGAACTTAATCAATCGTAATGTAGTTTTATTTATATGCCCATGCTTAAGTCATGGTCTAATACTTCTATAGAAAGAAGTATTAGACCATGACTTTCATTTTTATTTAATACACATCTCATCCACATATGTGTGCTTTTGAGTCTCGACAGCTAGTATTTTGATATTCGAATTCTTAATTTCATTAATTTATATATTAAATAATGTCAACAATACTATTTTAATCTTCAATACTTTGGTTTTATTTATATTTGCAAAGAAAATTATAATGGTTTACATTGTTATTATTTGACAGCTTCCACAAATTTTATAAACGCTACGCATCGCCACCGTCGTGCACATAGCCAATATAAGACACAATAGACAATACTGTCTCACGATAATCTACATTCCGGTATACCCCGGGTAAATGAAGTATCGACTTCGTAATGCATTTCTTACTACGATGTGAAGTCTTAGTACTTCGAAATAAATGTAGTCTAAGATTATAGAATTTATTTAATGGTGTTGAAGATTCTTTCGAAGTTAAATATTTATTTCACTAAAATCGGACTCCTTGGGATAATACCTAAATGCCCAAGAAGAGATGCTGATCTCCATGGATGCCGTAACAGACATCGCTCCGACGGTTTATTGAAAGGACTTAGGGTATCTTAAAGTGCTATAATAGTGGCCACCAGGGTGGTTTAACGGGGTAAGAATTCCACATTTCCTACTCTTTGTCCCAAAAAAGCTAAGCCACTTCTCAGGGTTTCCTTTGTCAGATATTGTAGATACATATTATATGGGCACAAATTTAAAATAACTTCATACCATACTCATTACTATACTATATAGGTTAAATTACAAATATCTGAATAATCATATACCTGTACTTACGGTTGAATTAAAAAATCTCTGCCTTTTTTTAAGTCGATAAATAAAACAAAATTGGTCTCTGTATTTATTTATTTTAGCGTAAAATAATTTCAGTTTTATAATATAGCCAACTAAACCATTATTACATTTTATTTTACAATCACTAGACACTTATCTAAAATTTTCTTACTACGAGATCCTGTACAACAAGAATTTAAATTACTCACCAGGAAAGAAGGAAAGAATCACAAATATAAACTTCTTATAATTTATATAGAGATATAATATCAGAAATGTTACCGTTGGACGACAATATTTTATAGGATGAAAACAAGCTATTGAGTCATCAAATGGAAAATCATCAGCGCCACCTATGGACCCCACCCAACAACACTAGAGAGTTTACAAGTGTGGTTGCCGGTGATCGGTATAGGGAAAAGGCCTTTTGGAGGGTTTATGCCTGCTATACCCTGACGCAAAAGGTGAAATACATCGCGAGCGATGTGTCAGGGGTTGTTTAAGTCGACGTTTGCAAGTTCAATCTACAGACTGACATGGTCTTGTATAGCAGTTAAAGAACTGTAATCAATTAATAGTAAATAATAATATTACACCGATACATAATATACATGGAAAAGGAGCATCTACACAAGTATGTGTAGATGCCTTGACTACTGTCAAGGTCAGTACCTACCACTACATTAAAGCGCTAGTGTAGCGTAAGGTCTTATTAGTCCAATTTACTCATTAAGTTTTAATTTGGTAATAACACTATTGCTGAACAGACCTTTAGCTACATTAGTGCCTCTAGTAGCGAAGAAATCTTCATTGACAAGATTATGTAAGTACTTAGACAAATCTCTGCTAAATCTGTGTAATGTAGCTGTTGATTCGCCATTTAATAAATAAATATGAAAATACATGTTAAAAATTTGCGTAGCCTTTTTATACCATGGTGATCCTGTTAAATACTTAATCACTGTAGCACGCACAGAATACTCCTTGCAGTGATACTCTTTGCATAGAAGTTTCTAGTGCTGACGATCAGTGCCACGACTCGAGCTATCGCGCTCGGGACCCGACATTTTAGCTGATCCCTGGGCTTTTTGCACCCTGTACACTATTTTGCTTTTAACTATATTTCTGTTTTTTTCTTCTTTCTATTGTATATGTCATAACTAGAATTCAAAATCTGCACATAATAGGTATACGAAATCCGTATTACAATTATACACATAGAAACGATTCAGGACACAATCCAAACACACAAATCAAATAATTTGTTCATGATTTCTTTCACTCATTTTCAATTAAAAAGTCCAAATCAAAAATGCTGTCAAATAGAAATACAAATAGTAAATCAATGTACAAAATATTACTAATTACTGTATAATTGTTACAAACCAAATTCACTAACATTTGCCGATTGCAATTTAAATCTAAATAATACACTAATTTCAGTATTACCATTATTCCACTGATTTCAGATATTATAAAATTAGAAAAATGTCCTTTGCCTAAAGCTCTCTAATACGCACGTCACTGATTTGGACCGTCAGCTCTCTAGACAATCTTTACTCATCGCATATCAGGTATTCAAAGGTTTCTGGACTGTTGCCCTGTAGCAAGTCATAAATTTAGGTTACTTTAAAAGGATTATGTTTCTATGACTTTGATTACAAAATGCTTTTTATTTCATAATTATTAACATTTTGACTAATGCTATATACCGGGAAATCTATTTCGTGTTCGTCCCGCGGCAAAACAATTTGCAGTAGTTCGAAGTATAAAGTAAAAACAAAAAAAAAAAACAATTTTTATGGTTTAAAAAAAATATTAGAACTCACACTTGAAACAGTAGACATTATCTATTGCTGACGTTCAAAAGTGCCTTCCTGGTGTAATTGAAATAAATAGTACATCGTATATTTTTAAAGAAAACCATACCTTTTTGTCACTATTGGGTGCTGCAGTAACTAATCAATAATTACTGTCTCTGTACTGAATCTGTACTTTTACCGATCTTAATGAAGAACGAGGTACATACATATCTACATACATAACTTCACGCCTGTCTCCCATGGGGGTAGGCAGAGACTAGGGAACGCCAATTACTACGATTCCTACATACCTCTTTCGCTTCATCAACAGTCATCAATCTTTTCATGCATTCTCGTCGGTTAAGTAAGAAGGAGTTGTATTGTTATACGGATGGCTTATTCTAATGTTCGCATTTGTAACAATAAACATAATATTCTATTTCTAGATTAATCTAGGTAAGTGTTTATACTTAAACTAGCTACTTCCTTGCGGTTTCATTCGCTCTGCTCGGCGCTTATTAATCGTAGCGTGATATTTTATAGTCTATATATAGCCTTCCTCGATAAATGGGCTATCCAACACAGAAAGAATTTTTCAAATCGGACCAGTAGTTTCGGATATTAGCGCGTTCAAACAAACAAACAAAAAAAACACCCTCTTCAGCTTTATAATATTAGTATAGATTATTATGTAACAACTATAAAATGTTCTGCCAGCCAAAGGACATAAACAAAGAAGCAAGAAATATAAGTATTTTAATCTATTAGTAATAATTGAGATAGTATTTGTAATAAAATATTCACAATTTCGTACTCAGTTATAAAGGTCCAACCTCATTCAAATACTCATAGTAAAATGTAACACAATATTTAGGAGTAGGAACTTTAAGATCTTGTGACAAAGTTCATTTTTCATTGTTAGGGGCATAATATTGATTATAACGTATTAGTTGGCATCAAAACACATGCGAATGCTGAAACACTACTGAATTTTAAGTTGTACTTGAATACTGCATTTACAAAGTAATTATAGTGGTAGAAATGTTTTTGAGAGTCTTAAAATTAAGTCGCGTTTGAGTATTCACGCAAAATATCATTCACTGGGCTATATAGGTATACATTTTTAGGAATGGTTAATAAAATTTCCTTTCGCACTTAAGCCTTAGTCAAAGCGACTATCTGTAATCATCAATAGTAAACAAGCATCGTAAGTACAATAACCACACGACTTATTGATAAATAGAAGTCCCATTCATTAGTTTTTGCTCCAAATATCTTCTCACACAAGGATTCATCCAGCTTAATTTTAAAATATATATTAAAAAGTACTATTCTGTAGTGTTATAAGTGCCAATTTTTCAATGCTCGGATAAATTTTATGTCAGGAATAACTTTCAGTATTTGACAATATGGTAGTTGACAGGTGGTCAAATTCAATACTTTTATTTGAAAGGTCAAAAACGATACTTTTCTATGAATTTTATATTGGATCGCAACTTATGACGTCATCATCGTATTTCTGCGTCAAATAGCATATTTCCTTAAAATTAGTGAGAAAAAATTGTGAAGTAGGTAAATTGTCAAATCAATGGATGAGAGTATGATTATTTTTTAATTATTTATTGCATTGAATAGTTGAAACAATTTATTTTAAACCTAGGAAACTAGCCAATTCTTCCATACTAAAAACTGTCAACTTTATTCTAATGTTAAAAAATAAATGACGATTGGAAAATCGGCCCTGAGAGAAATAGACACCATTTCGTTTTATATAGCGTTAACGATTATAGATAGTCAAGTTGACTAAAGCTGGAGGAAGCATGGACATGAACATAATTATATTTACACAATAACAATTGTCGTGTTCTAAGACACACACTATTACACCCAATGTATATTATTTACTGGTAAAATGAGCTTCTGTCTTTAGATCTATATACTGCTATACCTACAGGTATGTACTGTGGTTGCTTCTCACAAACTAACATACATAATTACTGCATTTTGTGCCCTGAACGGATAGCCAGAGGTGCAGGAGACAATTTTCATGAGTTATGCTGGAAGTCCTAAGAAATTCCGGACAAATCTACTATTAGACATTGTTATAATGCATAATAAACAATAACATATTATATTGTTTGATTCTGTAATCATATTTAAAATCGAATACTAAACAAACCAATCAGAAAATCGAGGAGAAAAACAATATATTATGATGGATGATGCATGAAATATTATTCTTTTTAAAAGGAACTAATGAATTAACACATCAATTCAAAACAAAACTGAATAATGCATAGAATACTTGTACTTGTAGACACAAATGTCCCGTATATGTTATGCATTAAGTAGTTTTTTGTATCCGTTCACAAGTCAATTTTATGCAGGGAACAAGCTCCCCTCAGACAAGTCACTCATAATTCAAACACTCGATCTAGTTTTACCTTGAAACTTCAGACACATAGATCTGCTACCGCTTCAATGGAATTTTCCCAAAGGAAAAATTAGTTTGTGAGAAGTACCATGAACCTAGTACTAAGCTGCCTATATCTATACGTAAATATAAAATCTATGATTGTAGAGTTTTGTGGCTGAACACGGTGTGAATGTATGGGGCCACCATCGGAGGAACAGAGGATGTGGACTCCGGAGGTTGTTCTTTCTCCTTATTATTCTTAGTCTTCCTGAACTGAAAGCCATTCTTCCTCAGGATCTTCCTCAAAGTCTCCCGAGATCCTTTGAAGTTGATTTCTTCCTTTAATATCTGCAAGAGTTTGTTGATGGTTGGCACTTCTTTCTTGAATGCATAGAACTCATGTATTTTTCTGCGGATGACCTGAAGGTCGTATTCGTCTACTTCTATCTTGCCCTTAGTTCTGACCCGTTTCTTTGGAGTTTTCTTCAAAGTTTCAGGGTCTAGTAGACCTTGTTCGACCAGCCTCGCCTCTTTCACGATGTTCAAGACTGTGCGCTCCGATACTCCTGAAACGACATAGCCTTCCGATTAGACATGTTGATTTAATTATTTTTGTAAAGGGCTACTTACAACGAAAATATTGTAACAATGTTTTCGTTACGATTAGTCAAAGCTACATGTATAATACCAAGAAAGTGTACATGCACTGGTGTCATAATGCATTCACATAGCTTAACTCATCTCTTTTACCTCGTGGGTATGTAAACAGACACGTCATGTTGCACAAATCAGTATGAGTAGCGAGAATCGAACCCGCAACACGATATGCAGCAGTTACTTAGTTACCAAGTTGTGTGAAACATCGAATTTTACAGTTTATTTGTTTTAGATTGACATATAATTTTAGATATTCGAAACTATTATTTGTAAAAAAAGAAAAATATAGTTGTACGCGCGCTTCGCTATAATAATGTGATAATTAATTATCTTAAAACATCAAGTCCCACAAATAAATAAGTTTCATCAATCAGACTTTTTTATTTCGCATCAATCGGAACAATGGTTAATTACCTAATATAGCAATTGTCAATATGAAAATATATTCGCAAACCTTTGATACATAATTCAGTTAATTAATTTATTTCTATTAAAATATAGCTTGTATGTTTTGTATTTATATCATTATCAACCGGCTACTTGGAGCGAGCAAGGGGTCTCGAGTTCGATTCCTGGGTCGGACAAAGTATTATTGGATTGTTTTCGACAATTTCTCAGTAGTAGCAGAGTCCGGAATTGTGTCTGGTATAGTTAGCAATAGGGTCACCCCTAGTATATGGGACTAATAACATTACATGTGAGAAGTGGGTCTTGTATGTCATTATGTGTACACATAACTGTAACTCTGTCTACCCATTCAGCGATAAAAGGTGTGACGGTATAAAAAAGTTCTATTTAGGCAGCAGCTTTATCAATGAATTGCAATCGCAATAATTATCGCAACTGGCATTGGGCAGTGTTATAGCGCGTTTAGAGTATATAATGATCAGCAAAACCATGGACATTAGGATTGTATTTTAATAAGGGACTAAAATATGATTCGAATTTTCAAAAATTTTCAGTAAGTAGTAATTTACTGCTTATGGTATTGAATTGAGGTCTGTATTATGGGAATATGAGTCATAACATAACATGGTTTTCAGGTGGGAGTGTTATGTTGTAAACATAATTATATTTTAGACCTTTATATATACCTTCAGAGCAAGAGTAACTGTAGCTTAATAGAAGCTACAGTTACGCTTGCTCTACAATAACACACTCATAGGTATTCTCTTGAGAATGCTCAAAACTGTAAAAAAATCATGAATTGCAAACACGCCTGAAATGAGCATGCCCAACATTCAGACACATAGGCAAAGTGACAAGTGCTCAATTGAAGCATAGTTTCACGCCTGAAATTAGCAAATGTAACAGTACTTTTATTATTTTACGTTACAAAAAACTAGTTCACACAATTGCAACCACAATCTAGTACAAAATCCTGACCTTAGTACCAGAAAGAGAATATTTAGCAAAAATAATGCATAATGCATACAACACACATTACACTAAGAAATACAATGTAAATATATGCGCAAGCTCATATTATACCAGACTATTTTGAAATTTAAAATAAGCTTTATCAGGTAGCATATCAGGTGCCGAGTCAGATACAATAGCGGAGCAAGGGTAACTAATACGGTAACAATAGAGTATTTTAAGTTCGCAATGAATAATTTGGTGTACAATGAATGCGGCAGGGAGCAAATAATAGCAATCTATACAATATCTCTTATTGTCATTTGACGGATGTAGATTTCAGCAATACACCGTCGTGTCTTGTCTTTTGTATCACATAAAGCACAGTCAAGAATAAAAGTCAAAGAGGTTAAACAGCATCTGTTTGATAGTTATTATGATTAAATTATTGATATTCTACATATAAATGTCTTACATGAGGATATCCGTCTCTTTTCATTGTTATAGCTGTATTTGCTGATTGGTTAATTAAAATTTTTTTGATGATGATGATTTGTTACTTTATTTTTATGGAATAGGAGGCAAACGAGCAGACGGATCACCTGATAGTAAGCGATCAGCGCCGCCTATGGGGTGTCCATAGGCGGCGCTGATCGCTTTGAAATGCTCAGTTAGATCATAATAAACAATGGGTCTAGAATTCAGATTGATATGGCTAATAGGTACCAGCTTAGCATTTTTATGAACTGTTATATACCTGCTTAGCATGGGTAATAAAATTTAATGTGGATAATATGTATTGTGATAAAAATGTAGGCCAGAATAGTTCAATAATACTTCGCAATTAGCAGACAGAATTTTCTGCTTATAACTCAATGTTGACTAAACAAACACGATACATTACAAATATAATGTTATTGAGAATACATTTGCTAACAAAGGCACAAAAAGTAAGAGGCAAAATGCATCAGATAATAGTCTAACACAATCGCAAATTTCATCCAAACGCAAAAACAACATTAACACATCTAGTTAGAACACAAAATTTTTAAATAATTACAACGTTAACAAGCATTAATTTCATGAAATACAAGTTTACGAACCTGTAGCGGCGGAAACCCGTACATACACTTTACTGAGCGGTATTATCGGTACTTGCATGCGTTTCTCCTCGTCCATAAACTCCTTTACTTTCAATATTATTTCCCGAACCTCACTCGTAATATTTTTCGGCATTTTGCAATACGACTGTTGTGGTTTCTCAAAACAAAAACACTAGAAGAAGCCTCGCTTTTGGCCAATTTTTGACTTTTGTCAGCGTGACGTTTTATTTGACATGGCCGCCATTGGACAATATGGCCGATCGACTTTTATTTCGTTCGGATACGTTTATGAATTCCGCTTTTCTGACTAGCGCAGTAATGAATGAATAACGTATAGCAATCTACGAATATACAATAAAAACCACACAATTTTTACTGTGCATTCACAGATTGCTTAGAAGTGCTTAGTTTATTTCACACGCGCAGCGCGCTATAAATTGTCTTTCTTCCTTCGTAGTCCTTAAAATGTAGAATGATCTCTGAGCTAAAGTTTTAAATTTAGTAGTACCTAGTAATAATAGTTATGCTTTAAATACTTACATTTTAAAAATAAATTAATTTTATGTATAAGAAAAATGTCACAGAATATATAGAAAAGGAAAGAAAAAAAATTCTAAGTTACGGCGTTGAAGAAATTATTCTCATCTCATCCAAAAGTGAATTCAACACATGGTACCTATTTAATTTTATTGTACACTAGCTTCTACCCGTGGCTTCGCTCGCGTCACAAAAGGATAAAAAGTAGCCTATGTGACATAGCGCATATACACAAAGCGCCATCTATACCAATACTTTTGTTTTCCCTCGGGAATATTTTTCCGGGATAAAGAGAACCCTATTATTTAATTCGGACTTCTAACTTTGCGTCTGCAAAAATTCAAAGCAATCGGTTTAGTAATTACGGCGTGAAAGCGGAACAAACAAACAAACAAACAAACAAACTCACTTTCCAATTTATAATATTAGTATTAGTAATAGTAATTAGTAATAGTAATTTATATCAAGTTATAATATCATAGCATCACAAGTAGGTTAGTACTTAAGAATGTAGTCACAGAGATCATCCTATATTTTACGGACTATATAAAACTTTTAACTGTTGCCGAAAGATGGCACGGATTGCGCTAGGGTTATTGTAGTCAAAAAATGGCGCGTGTCGTTCGTTTATTATTAAAAACCCAATAACAATAGTTATCCAATGAAAACTGATTAAAGTTATCAAACTGTTGTAGATATATGATTTCGTAAAGAATCTTTTATTACCATCAAATTAGCACCTCCGGTCCATGTCTAATCATTTGTTCTAAAGTGGAGAGTTACATTCGTACTTCTTTACAAACTAAACAATACCTATAAGACTTACTGTAGTGGTATTGTGAAAGTCGATTTAGATTTATTTTAGCTGTATTTGTGTCTTCTTCGTCCTGCCTGTTTTGCAAAATTAATCAATAGATGGCGCTCGCAACTTCGGTGAACGAGTGCTGTGTTTCGGATGTTTTAATTTTCTTACAGAACAATGACAGAATTTGATCTGGTATTTTTTTTAAAGTCCCTTACAGACTAGTAATACCCAATTAAGTAATATTGGGCCTGCTCAGTCCAGAATTTCTTATAATGTTGACGTCAAACGTTTGTAAAAGTACCTACCTTGCTATTTCGTAGCCTGCTAGCGACCCCGCCAGGTTTCGCACGGGTGCAATACGCATGTCTTATACATACAAACGTTCGTTAAGAATCACTTTATCTATTAAAAAAAACCGCATCAAAATCCGTTGCGTCGTTTTATAAATCTAAGCATACATAGGGACAGACAGACGCGGATAGCGACTTTGTTTTATACTATGTAGTGATAAGGATTTAAAAAATATATATCATATAGGTATTAGTTAGGTATTAATTCATAAATTAGTACCCACTGGTACCTACCTCCAGATTATCCTGATCTTAGATTAATATGATTCACTTTTTTATATAAAACCGGATACAATGAAAATTTTAGTTAACTCAAACTCGACAAGTAAGCCCAAAATACAATATTACTTATTACATTACGATGAGGGAGGATAACTTATTTGATACCTTAAGCTAATTCTTAGTACTTTTTATGATAATTCGGTGTACCTATTTTTAGTTTTTAGTTAAATTTCAGTTATAGTTATGTAAATTGGTTACAGATTTAGGAATTATTCATTGATATAAACACTAAAAATCTAAGGTACAATAAAATATTATTTGGGACGTGTCTATGAATAAATAGAGACCATCTAATGTCCAATGTCAACCGTTTCGCTCAAAGATCCTAGAATCTTAGACAAAGAGTATAATTTTATGGGAAATCTTCAGAAATCAAGTCATCCTAGAAAAAAGAAAAGAGTTTTAAAAACATTTCCATAAACTGTCGTCTTTCCATGGCAAAGAGTATAAGTATAGGAGAACTCCATGGTCACACCTTGATTGTCACTGTTATTGAACTTCCCCTATATAGGGGATTATGTTACCGGTTCGACGTGCAGGAGAAGGAACGGGGCGGTTTTTAGTCAGTAAGAGTCTGACACTCCCTCCCGCCTCACCCAGGCGGGAGCAGTCATTCGATGATTTTCCCTCCTTAAAAAAAGGAACTTATTATACTCTTTGGCATAGTTGCATGTCAATATGTCAATAAATATCTGTTGTTGAGATAATAATACGGTGGTCAAAGACGGTAGTACTCACTTATATCTTTGAGAGTCTTTTGGATCAACTTAAAATATGTTTCAACTTCGTGAACGTTTAGATTCATATCATTACCACAAGTGCATAATTATACCAGAAAAAGATGTCTTGGATGTCGATATTGTCGGGACTAATCGGATCGCGAACTTCAGACGATGGTGGAACGACCTCTTTCTACTTTCATACGAGTGCGATAAATACAGGTGTTTCTACACAAGTTCCAACGCACTAAGAATGGAAAGATATAGGCAGTTTCGAAAACACAAAAACTGCATACATCCTCTGAGTAAATTCAGGTAACGGAACCATTACAGGGCTTTTTACTTGCTTATTTATCTGTATTTCTTACTAACTATACAATTTAATGAAAGTGACGAAACTGTTTCAGATATTACTGGGATTTCATAATACTATACGTATTCGTTACTATCAAATTCATTACACGATTAACCTCCAATTTTCTCTACGATCGATTACCGATATCATTCTACTTACTTGGGGCATTTTTGGAACTGGTTGTCTTCGCAGGCTTGTACGTGGATATGATTACTGGGTACATTGACAAAGAAAGTAGAAGAGTCGTCTTAAGTAGGAAAAAAGCGATACTAAATTACTGTGAAAGAAAATTGTTTCTCCACGTTGCGTCAGCTATTCCTTTGCACTGGTTGATGTTTCTTAGATATGGAGATAACATTAACTGCGGTCTTTGTAAGTGTAACAAATTCATCTGCGCTCTCAAGATCCTCGATTCCTTCAGCTTATTCCGAGTAATCGAGACCTCGACCTGCTGGAGCCGCAAGCGGTACTCTAAAGTCAAGGAGAGTCTCTGCAAATTTCTGAGGATCGGAACAGTTACTTTCGCCACTCTAATACAGTTGACTGAACTGAGCGATGTGTTCACTTTATTGATGTTTTTTCATTATAAACAAGTTGATGAGGAATCCATATTGAGCTTCAGAGCGGGATTAAAGTACGGATGGAACGGCGTAGGAAACTTTATGTTTTTTATGTTTGATATCGGCAAAATGCTGAAGCCGTTAACTCGAATAACGCAGATTAACGCAACTGTGGAGCGCTTCGTTTTAGATAAATTATTCTCATTTTTGGGTTTCATTATAACGTATATTTTTTACGCTTGGGCTATGGTGGAGTGCTTCTCTTTCCTTACTTTTGTGATATCTGCAGAAAGCCAAAGGATGACTTCGAAGCAGAAAACTATGAATGTATTAGAAAGTCTTCAAGTGTCTGATACGTTGAGTGAGAAAGTTTCTGATTATTTTAAATACAAGTCGTCAGCGCTAAGATTGACTGAAGCTCGAAATGGACTTTATGTAGTGCTGCCAACAATTTTGAAAAACGAAATAAATTTAAATTGTTACTTTAATATTATACTGCGGATCCCATTGTTCAGCCAGTGGCCGATACCAGTGTTAGAACAGTTGACTATTATGCTGAAGAGGAAAGAGTATATGATCAACGATATGGTGACTGTAGTAAGTATTTATCTTTAGAGCTGGAATTATAATATATTAAGTAAGTAGTGGAACTGAGGAACTGATAGCTGCAACTTTAATTTTAATACAAAAGTTACATGAAAATGTAATGTTACATCGAATCTGTTTAGAGGTAAGCATGATGCGCCATTTCATCATTTAGGTAATTAAACAAATCTTCAGTATTACACTGGACGGACTTAGCTTACGTTTAATTATTTTCTTCTTTATTGGTTAAATTAATCTTGTATTGTCGTTTTCCTTACACAACATCCAGGCTAAAGCGTCAGGAGAGGGTCTGATGATAGTCCACGACGGAGTGCTGGCAGTCTACTCAAGCACCAACAAGGAGCTAGGGCACCTGATCGACGGGGACTACTTCGGAGCCTTGTCTCTAGTCACCGACAAAGAAGTTTACATGACTTATGTGGTCGCTGTGACAAATGCTACTGTAAGACTTTTAGTTTTTTTTGTTAACATAAGGTTATATCATTATCATCGGCCCGTGATATAGTTCTCCAGTCTCCATGTTGGGCAGGTGGATTGGAGATCACAGTTTAAAGAGGTCAGATTTATCAGAGCCATGCCTGCTGCCCATTTTCTATTAAATCTGTAGTCTTTAGTCTTATGACGTCGTGGAAAACTCTTTAAGTGTGGGAGAGCCACACTTCGGCACGAATGCGCCAGCTCGACCGGAGTTTTGTATTTTTTTTATATAAATTCCTTGCCCTACAATAAGATTATCTCCCGTGTCTTGGGTGCGTTTACAAACATACAACTTCACATACCCAGACCCGAAACAACAATTTGTGGATCACACAAAGTGTTGTTCCGTGCGGGAATCGAACCCGCGACACGTTACACGGCAGCCAGTTGCTCATCCACCACACCAACCGTGCAGTTAAGTATGCAGTCAGGAGTGATACCACGGTCTCACAGAAAACCGACGAGAAACACCGCTTGCGATATGTTTCGTCATGTGTGTGAGGAACCAGCGGCCTAATTACCCATTCTTCCCCGATCTCCCTAATCCCTGATTCCCCATCAATCCTCAAATTCTTAATCCCCAAAGAGCCGATCACGCACTTGTGTTCCAGGTGACTAGGTGACGCGAATGGCTTACCATCAGGTGATCCGTCTGCCTGTTTCCCGAATTATCCCATAAAAAAACTCTGCTGTCATTACACCACAAAATAAGGATCTACAGCTAGTAATTGTGTTGTTTATAGGTTCTATTTTTGAGTAAGATGGAATTCAGAATGTACATGAAGGATCACCCACAACTGTTCTATGGTTTTGAGATGGATTTGAAGAAGAGGTATAGAGATCGCGCTCGTAATCAAGCGGACGCGTCGATTGGTTCAATACGTTCGCAGTAAACTGTTCATGCTTTTAAAGTTCACTTTAGAAGTACTACGGCCGGTGTCGCTGCATGTTACAGTTTAAAGTTTCTATTTTCTGATAGCAAAGGAAAGTGGTTCTTATAGTTTCATTTAATTATAGGATTTAGAAAATGATGTGTTTAAGCGATTAAATGAACGTGATGTTTATGAACAAGCTAGAAAGCAAATATTTTTTTTGTAACATAATGTGAGCGACCTTCAAAGGCAACAATAAGATTTCTACTAGTATAGTTCTTATGGCATAGCTTAGCATTAGATAGTTATAGTGTTGTAGTAATGGGTGTCAAAGCGCTGGCCATAAAAGCTGAAATTGACGTTTAATAAAAAGATAATGGTAGAAGTAATGACTTTTTATTTTTATCTGTAAATGAAGCTTGCCTCACTACGAATGGACCGGTTCAAACGGAATGATAGAAGTCTCACAGAAAACTGGCATGAAAGAAGGCTTGCGTTCATCATGTAAGTGATGTTATCCTCACTTTTTTGAACCCCTGCCCCCCAAAAGGTCAGTGACGAGTTCCAAGTACGTTACTTGTAACTCATCAGGTGTTGTGGGTATCATGGGCGGCGTTGATCGCTTACCATCAGGTGATCCGTCTGCTCGTTTGCCGCTCTTTACAATTATATAGACAATTCTCTGTGTTATTGTAAAAAGGGTTTTAAAAAATGAAAATAATGCTAGGTATGTCTATTTTTATTTCTGAAACACAAACCAACATAGTTTTGCAAAATACTTGCAACTTAGTTTTCTTCTGTCACATTCTAAGTAAGTAAATTTTAGTAAACTTAAAACTAATCATTATAGATATTTCAAAAGTAAATTAAACTAGGTGTTCTTTCTTACTTTAAAAACTTAGGGGCATTGACACCTACTTCGAAAATGAAACCTTTTCCAATACAGTCTTAAAAATAAATATATTAGATTTAATACAGGTAACAGACGTGGTGTGGTGGCCCGGAGGTTTAAGACGCCCGCTTCTCATGCATGAGGTTTCGAACCCGCACGTTCAAAACCTACTAACGGCAAGTACCATTGTGACTTTAGCCGAGTTATATGTACTTTCTAAGATTATTCAGACACCACTGACAAACGGTGAAGGAAAAACATCGTGAGGAAATCTGGACGTATGATTTCTAATTGTAAGTTTGAAATCGCCAACCCGCATTGAGCAAGCGTGGTGATTAATGCTCATACCTTCTTCGTGTGAGAAGAGGCTTTGCTCAGTAGTGGGCACTTATAAGCTGTTGATAATGAATACAGATACTGTAAGGTTCTAAATAGACGAATCGTATTAACTTGCAATTCAACCGCAAATTGCAGTTCGGATACAGACTGAACGCAGTCGACACGAATGCAGTTGGATTGCAGCTGAAATGCGGTCCGTTCGTCTAGACCTGTACGCATGCTCTGAAATAGCATGCGTGGTTCTATTGAGCATGCTAAACATGTTCAAAAATAGAACGCCTGACGACTTCAAAACATCTGAGGGCTTAGTACGAGTTAGTTTTACGTTAAAAGTAATCGAAACAAGAACGCGTTCGGCGTTATGATTGGTTGGTTCATTGGCACCGGCCAATCACAGCGCCGAACCCGTACTCGTTTCGAATACTTTAAACGTAAATCAAACCCGTACTAAGGCCTCTGGTGTGAGCATGCTAATTTTGAGCAACATTTCGTTTTCTTTTCTTTTTAAAGAATCGTTAAAAAGAATGTGGGGACATTAGGATTTTCTCCTGTGTCGTGAGTGCGTTTACAAACATTGTATGTGAACTTGTATTCATATACACAATGACACCCAGACCCGCAACAACAATTTGTGGAACACACAAAGTGTTGTGTCGTGCGGGAATCCAACTCACGACACTTTGCACGGCAGCCGGTTGCCCAGCCACCGCACCAACAGTGCAGTGCATTTTGACACAAGTGCTCAATTAAAGCATGCTTTTAGCCTTCATTAGCATGTGTAACAGTACCTCATGAGCACTGATTGACTATCCTGAATATGGAAGTTCATATTCGACAAGAGGCTGCTGACCGAGGGCAGATCTCTGATATCGATCGGTTTTGTTGAGATTTTCTTGTATTATCTTATAATGCTCCACAATCTGCGTTTTTATTTGCCAAAAATACTTCACATGCTTCTTCATCAGCTCGCGAAATCTCTTTTTCTCGAGCAGCAGTATCTGAAATATTTATAAGTGATCAGGTTAAGAAATGTTATGTCTTACCCATTGCTGCCATGCAGCATGCATGCAGCAATGTAGTACCTCATCGAGTCCAATCTAGAACTGTGTTGTTAATAAAATAAAATAACTCTCTACCCAAAGCTGTTTGTCCGACCAACAGATTAAACTTGGGATTTTGTGTAACGAAAGTGGCATTTCTAAATAAGGCAATTATAGAGATATACTATACTATAGAGATATATTTTTAAAATATCTAATATATAAAATTCTCGTGTCACAGTTTTAAATTAAAATAATAGTAAAATTGGTAAGGAGGTAGCTTACGGGACTCAAGACAACTAAGAATTTTTCGAAAATCCCAACAGCAACGGAAAGGAGTAGATTGCGCGAACAAAGTGTCAAGCAGAAGATAGTATTTCATACAACTCGCCGAAAGAAATTCTGAATTAGGTATGAGGAGTTGTTGGCATTAATAAATGTGAGTATGCATCAAACTTACTGAACAAGCTCTGATGGAGACCACGAAAGACAAACAGCGTTCGTTGACTGTGACCAGAGACAGTCCCGCGAAGTAGTCTCCATCTATCAGATGTCCCTCTTCTTTTTCATCATTTGAGTACACCGCGAGCTCCCCATTTTCCACTATCATCAACCCTTCAGCTGGAACCAATGCCTGAATACAAGAACACGGTTTTCTGCAACTAATTTTTACACACGTGTAAATTTGCATTTTGGCATTTCAACTTGATTGGTTAAAATTATCAGACCACGAACAGGTAACATTACTGGACGCGCGAAGCTGAAATTTGGAAGGCAAGTTCCGTAGACAGTGTAGTAGGGTAAAGTTATTAAGAATATTTATTACATAACGAGAGAATTTTTGTAGGTTTAGTCCTAAAGAGAGAAAAAGAGATTAAACATCAAAGACTCAAAATATTTAAAATTTTACTCAACTATTATATACGTATAACAATAAGACTCACTTGTGTTATGATGGCGTTACTCATATATATTTCTTTTCTCAACAGTAATACTATCTCCTCTAACAGCGGCAGCGGTACTTGACAGAAATAAGGAATTCTCATCATGTACTTCATATACGAGTGTAACTTAATTTCATTCTTCAGAACATTTGGCATGTTCATATACAACTTATTTGTCTTTTCGATTATGTGCGGTTTGGTCGGTCCATACTTGAAGTATTTTTGTAACCTGGAACTTAGTTCATTAGATATTTGGCGTGTCGACAACATCGTCAGGGCTCTGCACCGCAGTTTCATGTGTAAGTCTTTAGGGTGAATTAGTGTATTAATCAAGGAGAAACATTCCTTAAAACTCCAAAAATAAAAGAACGTCGCGAGAGCGTACCCCAGCAACGCAGTTATTTTATCCAAATAGTATACTTTTTCTCTGATACCGTAACTAAATAACTGCAACGACTTGAAAATTCTATTAATCTCATAACAAACGTAGAAGTAGTTCGTAGACAGTTGCATTGTAACGTTTCCATACTTGAAGTTGGTTCTAATCCCCAACAACGAGGTTTCTTCTACGCTGCCCGTATGGAAAGCTACAAGCAAAATGGCGACATCACTTATATCATAATATTGGCACATAGTCATCATACCAATCACTCCGATCCTTAAGAACTTGAAGAGGTATTTATATTGAATTTTGCTCGCAGTATGAAGTTTTTCTGTCCAGAAAGTGGATGTTTCATAAACCCGGTAGAGACTGAATACACTAATGATCTTCAGGACACAAATGAATTTGTTCGCTTTACACAAGCCACATTTGATGTTAGTTCCGTATTTGAGAAACATGAACCAGTGCAGGGGTGTAGCAGACGCGACGTGCAAGAACATCTTATAAGTGCAGAAGTGAAGTAACGAGTCGTGTGAGTCCAAGACTACGCGCTTAGCTTCGTGGTTGATATATCCAGTCTTCAGGCTTACGTATAGGTCCATGATGATAATCAATTCTAGGAAAGCTCCTAGGTAATAAGAGTATATCGACATACTGTCGAATATAAACGAGGACAGGAATCTGAATAGTAACTTGTTCACGATAAACACTTGCAACATCAGAAAGTCCCAGAAGTTTCTGAAATATAATAATGGTCTTTGGTTATTCTTTATTTTACTCGTATCGTATTGTATTTGGTATAAATGGTAAAAAGTTCTAATATTCCCATTATATCTCTTTTATATCAATTTGCCAGTTAGAATAAAGTTAGGTGCCTTTTCTGTAATCATTATTTGGTCTTAAAAAGATTTAAGTACTTGAATTTGCTCATCGGATGGATACGACTCCTGTATTTGCGGAATTGTCTGAATCTTTCTACTCTGATGGCGTGGGAGCTGGCGTAGAAACCTCTACATTTCCCTGAGGTGTAAGACAGGAGGAACAGGTCCTGCCACCAGCGCTGGAAGCGGGCCACACACCCGGTTCCAATAATGTCCGTTTCCAGGACATCCTTCTCAGGGATGACGACGCAGGTGTGATGAAAATACGAATTGTAGTAATCGCCGTGTTCGTTCATAATTATAAAGATGTTATGGTAAATTTTCCTTATACTTATCTCTTTGGGGTAAATCGTGACTCGTGTTGTGTCATGAAACTTTAATGTCAAGTTTGTTGTATACCTATTATAGGTACTCTTTGGTTGGTTGGCTGTGGGTCATAGAGAGTACCTATAATCATTACAAGCTTTAACGAGTTCATAAATGATAATTATGTTCCATGGTTCTGTATTTGGACTGGATGCTGAGTTATAACATAACAATAACAAATAATTTATATTGCGACCTGTGACCATGAAAACTGTAAAGTTAAAAACAGATTCATTGTGATTTATCGATACAACATAATAATATCGAGAAGGAACAGAACCGAACAATGGTTTAACGGTAGATACTTGCGCAATAAAAATAATTTGTATAAGTACTAGAATTTACGATGGTCACCCACGCAGACCAGACGTCCATACATAATACATTGTGACAGGCCGTCGTTGGTACGAACAGAATCGTATTTTCATCTAATTTCATTATAATGCGCATTTGCAATGTAGAAATGGTCACCTGGTATACGTGACTCCTTGTTTAGTAAGGCAATTGTACGTACTTACGTAATACTGTTACGGAACCATGTTCAAGGTACTGCGATTTTTGTGATGAATAAAGATCGACGGGCATGTGTGTTTAGGCTGAGATTTTATTGTTGAGCGGCAGCGGATTTATGAGCGGTCGTGGGTTTTAGATTTTCATTTTTTAATAATGAGGTTAAAGAGAAGGCTTTTTGTATGGGACAAGCGTGCCACAATCTCCCAACATCACTGCAACTCCTGTAAGCCAGTTTCTATTGTAGATATAGGTAACAATAAAAACACCGGAACACTAAAGTCCGACACGTCTCAGGGACATGAATAACTGTCTTGGATCCCACAACGAAATAAATTATAAGATATTACTATTAGAGGAGAAGAAAAAACGATATTTAGGGAGAAGGCTAAAGCACTGCAAACGAGAAGAAGTTATTCAAGGCTGGGACATGTCTACTAATATCTACAGCACCAAACGCGCTTATTACCGAACTAGTGAAACCTTTTCTTTAGTTCTCATCAGTTGAGGAGGTCTGGCGGTTTGGAAACGTGATAAATTGTCTGTCGTATAGACTGGTAAGTAACTTAGAACATAGTACGAACTAAGATTAAATATCTTTACTTTTAGAATAAAAGACGTGACGTCAATTATTTCATTATATTCACGGAATATAGAATTGTATTCTATATTCCGTGATTATATTCATGTTTATGACATTGTTCACCTTGTTTGAAGAGACACGTCAGAACGTTCTGTCAAAGTCTATGTTACATACCTCGCTCGTCGCTCTGTGCGTCTTCCAGGCCGCACCTGAACGTGTCAGAAGCAATTATCTTCATCAGCCCACATCATTGCGTTGCGGTCCCTTGATCTCATTATATCATTCACATCATCATATCTGTGTGACAGCTGTTTTACGGAAACGTAGCCTTAACTACTTTTAGGAAAAACAGGTTCATTTACAACCACTTACGTTCTAAATTAGACCTTATCGTCAGGACGTAAGTGTTGTTTGATAGTGCTTCAATAATAACTTCGTTTAGTATGCTGGGTCAGTCACATACGGTTCGATTTTGCGAACTACAATTTATGTATTTTCACTAAAATAACGTGCAGCGGTTTTCGGTTTTACCTGAATAAATAAGTTTATGGAAATCGGTATGTAATGGGTATATTATTCTATGTATTTTGGGAAAGTGGCACATTACATGATTTAATAGTGTGTTATATACATAGGTCCATAGTCCAAACAATACATCTGTTAATCAATTTGTTGGTCAACGATCAGTGGACTACGGCTACGGTCTGTATATGTAGATATAAAATTACCTACAAGAAATGCTACTTTATTTAAATTATTTGGCATCTAATGAATCTCAAAAATATTTATCTGAAATTTTTTGTATAAGATAATCTTGAATTTAATAAAATATAATTTATAAAAGGATAAACACCTAATTTTTTCCTGCGATTAAAATAACAGAATATTCGACAAAGAATGTCCTTCTAAAAATTCTTACAGCGAATCGAGGCCCCCGGCCTGGAGGTAAAAATTTAAAGATTTCCAAAATGTCTCGAACAGGAATGTATCGAGAGCGCCTCCCACGCTGCGATAAATATTTTGTCCCAATTTTTTTGGAAAATATTTTATATTTTTTTAGCGTTTACGAATTTTTAACAGTCCATTAAAAGGTATTTATTTTATTATTTTTAAGTTGATCCCACCCACTGCTTAGAAAAATGATGTCTAGGTAATGCTAGTTATGAAGCCGCGGAGAACTTAATTAACGGGTTGTCGGCGGCTTTCTAATCAATATTTGTATGAAAAGGGACACCTCTGGTGATTTGAGATGACCTCTGGTGAGTTGTACAATTGAGTGAGAATTCTTGATTCTGACAATGTTATCGGTCCACCAAGCGGACCTGCCTACGCCAAGTCTTCCAATGCGTGGTCTCCACCCCAGTACTTTCTTTCCACCCGAGTTCTTTTTTAGCCCATCGGCCGTCATTTCTTTTGCGAACTATACGTCAGTAACTTCTGTTCTTTGGTGACCTTTTTATTCCGGATTCTTTTTTAGCTCCTGCCGGGCAAGGGTTCACGGGTTCGATTCCTGGGTTGGGCAAAGTACTACTGGGTCTTTTAAAATTTCTCAGTACGTAGTAGCTCGGAGTCTGGAAGTGCCCGGTATATGGCAATAGGCTCACCCCCTATTACATGGGACTTATGACATAAATAGTGAAAAGTGGGTGTTACATTGGTAACACCCACTTTTCCCTGCCACACAATGCCACTCTTCAATTACAGTGGCATTAACTGGCCTAATATGCAACTCTGCCTACCCCTTCAGAGATAAAAGGCGTGATGTAATGTGGTTACTCTTTTAAAAAAAATATTTTTACAGTCTCAATGTTACATAATCTGAATCTTAGATCCACTTAAAATGAAAACATAGAAAGTTCAAAAACACGTGTTTTGAAGTGTTGGATAAAAATCTTTCTTTAATCGTACGTGTCATCATATGTAGTGTCAACTGCCCACTAAGTAATGCTGGACATAGTATGGGATGCATATTGACTTCTAAATGTAAGGAGAGGTGTCAGCCGCATAGCTAAGTGTTAGAAATCCGATTTTTACTCCATTGGCCACCAAAAAGTCGAGCCTAATGAAGTCATTGGTTTAAAGGTATCAGTTTTTATACATTTACCTTTTTTTAGTATACATAAAGTATTCTCGCATCAATGTTCCAGGAGAACTGAGAGGTATATTCCAGAATTAAACAATAATAATAAGTAATAAGGCATTTATTTCAGACAAAGTCTATCTAATGTTAGTCTTATCTAGAAATTACTTACAAACTAGTGTTAGTACCGATCACCCTTTGTACTAATCTTTTGTTTATTAGAGAGTGCTACTCTCCGCTACGGTTCTCAGGATGCTGTTATGACTGTCTCTCAACCTTCTTAATAGTGATGATGTTTTATTCCGTAGTACTGCGTGTAAATAATGGTAGCAAAGCATTAGGGGGAAGTCCCTTAATGCCGGATGGCACCTAACGCCGTCCGCTTGTATTATCTCTATAACTAATAACGCGAGCGATTCAATTTTTAGGGAGAAGTCTTCCAGTGGCAGTCACCTAAGATTTTTAGTGACAATTGGACGGCACTCCAGCGTTACGGGACTTCCCCCTATTAATGGGGTCTAAAATGCAAAATTTTATTTATTCTTACTTACGCTCTTTTCTATAGAGTCCTTAGATAATGAAACTTACAATTATTTAAATTAAAAAGTTAAAAAATATTCAGGTAAATAATATTAGCTTCTCCAGCTCAGCCCAGCTCCAAAAAGTGCCAGGAGTGCAGTAATGAATAGGAGCGTAAAGACAGATGTAATACACTAATACACAAATTATCATCGATATTTATTTAAGACTTAAGACTTTTCCGTTGGTTTTAAAATCCAAATTTATTTACTTGTGTTGTGTTATAAATCATACTATGGTGTTTACATTTGGAGATAATCTCAAGTTATTTAAATTATAAAGCAAAAAAATCGTCTTACATTACCAGGGGCGCAGAAATGAACAGGAGCGTAAAGACACATGCCGTACATAAACTGGCATCGATGTTCTGTGAGAGGTATTCCGGAGTTGCGTAATGGTAGCAAGGTTGCAGTCTTGTACGCTGCGTACGATCTTACGCACCGGCCGCTGTCCGCCATGATGAAACATGAGCTTTGTGTAACATGTTTTTTGTAAAGAAATCATTTAATAATTGGAACTTTCTGGAAGCCACTAATTGCAGACGTCGTTAGTAAATTTTGTTATGGATATAAAATTGATAGTTATGGCAGCTTATGATCATACACATGGATATTTGGATATGGATATTTACATTAGTGTATGATATTCCACGCCATTTTAATATGGCAGAGATACCTCATTGATCGACTGTCGCTAGTGTGTTTGTCAAACGAGAAGTTGCAGGTACCTGGGTACGATTCCTTTATAGAACAAGGTATGACTCAAATAATTACTCGTTAGTAAAAGACGGCTCTAGAAACCGCTTAAGCTGGTGGCGTCTATATAAACATATGTGATAAATTACATGCTAATTTATAGACTAGCTTCTTACAGCGGCCTTGCCCGCGTTCACGTGGTACTAAAAGTAGTCTACGTGTTATCCCAGCCCCTACCTACACCTATTCGTAAGTGAAACACTTACCTTTAAAATAACTAAAAATCTTAACAAAATAAAGGTAATAGTAATTTTAGTCGGGAACAAAATAGAAATGCAGCCATATTTAAGAAGTCAGTCTGCACTGCACTCTGAATTCGTATATCCCGATCCGTTCAGCTGTTTTGATGTGAAGAAATAAATTTACATACTAATTTTTGTATTTATAATATTAGTGGGATTACATATCATTATACTTCTTACA